AAAAAAGGTTTTATTGGGGGCGCGACTAGCACACAATTAACACTAACTCTGTATGTGCAGCATTTCAAGCAGAAACTCTGTACATGCATACTCCTGACACCATAACCACTTCAAATCACATAAGTGGTCATGGTGGTTTGAGTATCCATTTAACTATCAGAGTTTGACAAAAATCAGATCAAAACAGAGAAAGTTCAAACTGTTCTCAATGCTTAAAGGACCACTATAGACACACAAACCACTTCAGCTCAATGAAGTGGTCTGGGTGCCAGGTCCATCTAGGATTGACCCTGCCTGCTGTAAACATAGCAGTTTCAGAGAAACTGCTATGTTTACATATGGATTAATCCAGCCTCTAGTGGCTGTCTCATTGACAGCCCCTGGAGGCGCTTCCTCGCTTCTGTTATATTCACAGTGAGAAGACGCCAGCGTCCATAGAAAGCACTGAGAAATGCTTTCCTATGGACTGACATAATGCGCGTGCGTCTCTTGCCGCGCATGTGCATTCAGCCGATGACGTCGGAAGAAAGAGGAATGTCCCCGGCGCTGGAGAAAGGTAAGATTTTAACCCCTTCCTCCCACTTTAGGCTGGCGGGAGTTGGATCCAGAGGGTGGAGGGGGGACCTATTAACACTATAGTGCCGGTACCATATACACCCCAATTTTAATCCTGCAACTAAAAACATTGCCTTTCTGCTGGAACAGTTTCATTGTCAACCTGACTCTAGTGGCGTCTGAAAAATATTGGCGTAAAATTCCACAATTACAATCAGATGATCTCAGAGAAACCATCTGACTGGCACAGTGTTTAGTTGCGCATGCACACTAGCCACCCAATGTTTTACTATGGGAAATGATTGGATTGGCTGAGGTCACTGATCTTGATCTCGCCCAAAGAGGTGGAGCTTCAAGCTGGATAGTAAAGTAAAGTAAAATCCCACTTTTAACCCTGGCAGCAGGGGCCCAGTCACCTAAATGGTGACTAGGGCACTATAGTGCTAGGAACGCACATTAGAATCCTTAACGCTATAGCATTCCTTTAATGATCTTTAAACTGGCTGGGAATCATTGGATTGCAGTCCAACCATAAGTTAACCTGTGTGGAGATATATAAATATACAGCATAACGTATTGGTGTCTGTGCAAACATAAAAAGGTAGAATTGCAAATGTGTGTTGCATCAAACAATTAGCTATTTTATTTAAATTTCCATTTTACTTGATGTCTGGTTTTGGGCAATGTCTCACACCATAATAAGATATGAAGAAAGTCCGGTCCAGGAAACCTTTGTCAAGCTACAAGGCCTCTGTTGCTCCTTTGTTCCTGGACCTTATTTTCTTCATATCTGCCAAATTGGGATTTGCCAACCCTGGGCCTGGAGCACCTGGATTGCATGTGAGGGTGCGGGATCTTTTTGTGTATACGATCACATCATAAGATCATGTAAATAATGATAAATGATAAAGCACATCTAGTGTAAGCAACAAAACATTATCATCTCTCAAAATTCCTCCGTGGAATGTAACTCCCATTACATTTATATCCTCCAGTTAGAACACCACTACTTACTTTGATTCTGGATTCATTTTTCGCTGCACGGGTTAACCATCAGTGGGCAATGGGGGAGCTAGAAATGGGATAATAACTTTTCTGATTTGTCTAAATTTATTTTATAACCCAATACTCTAGAGTACCTATTTATATCTTTTAACACTTCCAGAATAGAGGTTTCTGGCTCTTCAAGGATAAGTAGTATATCCTCCGCATAGATATTGCCCCAACGGATATCTATAACCTGTAACTTTTTGATTTTGTCTTCTAGCAATGGCTAAAGATTCTAATACTAATATGTAAAACAGTGGGGAGAGGGGATATCCCTGCCCTGTCCCATTATTAATGTTAAAAATTTGAGAAGAAATCCGGATCCCATGACTTTTGCCTATGGAGAGTCATAGAGAGCATATACCACTTTTAGATTTGGACCTGTAAATCCAAATTGTTTTAATGTGGCTGACATAAAGGCCCACCCTACCCTATCAAACACCTTCTCTGCGTCTATTGATATGAGCATAAGTGGGATCCTTTTGTTTTGTTGCCTCCAAAATGTCTATTATTTTCCGAATATTGTTAAATGACGACCGGCCTGGAATAAAACCGATCTGATAGTTGTTAATGAGATCTGGTATGACAGATTTCAGTTGTTCCGCAAGAATATTTTGAGGTCTGTGCTTATCAATGAAATCGGTCTAAAATTGCTTATCCGTTCTTGATCTTTATCTGGTTTTGGAATTGGGATGATATTTGCTCTCAATAACTCTCCAGGGCATCTTCCTGTATTTATCATGTATCTTCTTTTAATTGATCTTTCATAATTTTATAAAATTTATTTGTAAAGCCATCTGGGCCTGGGCAGTTCGTTCTTTAAAGGACCACTCTAGGCACCCAGACCACTTCAGTTTAATGAAGTGGTCTGGGTGCCTGGTCCAGCTAGGGTTAACTCATTCTTTTATAAACATAGCAGTTTCGGAGAAACTGCTATGTTTATGAATGGGTTAAGCCTTCCCCAAAGCCTCTAGTGGCTGTCTCATTGACAGCCACTAGAGGCGCTTGCGTGCTTCTCACTGTGATTTTCACAGTGAGAGCACGCCAGCGTCCATAGGAAAGCATTGATAATGCTTTCCTATGTGACCGGCTGAATGCGCGCGCAGCTCTTGCTGCGCGTGCGCATTCAGCCGACGGCGCTGGAAAAAGGTAAGTTTTAACCCCCTTTCCCCCTTCCAGAGCCGGGCAGGAGTGGGTCCCAGAGGGTGGGGGCACCCTCAGGGCACTATAGTGTCAGGAAAACAAGTGTTTTCCTGGCACTATAGTGGTCCTTTAAGCTTATCTATTGCTTTAATAACTTCTGTTTCTGATATATGTTGGTTTATTGTTTCTAATTGGTCGGGCATAATTTTGGGCATCTTTATATTTTCAAAGAATTTTTAAATTTCTTCATCACTACCAAATAAATCCTCTGGTAGGTTATATAGAGCTATATATAATTTATTTGAATGCTCCGCCTATTTGTTCTCGGGCCATAACGTATGTATCTTTATCCCTTATTCTAGATATCACCTTTTTTCTTTTTTCAACTTACTAGCGCCTCTGGCTTATTGCCTTTTTAGTACCATTTAGATTGAAAAAATGTGAATGTTTTTTCAATTTTATTGGATAATTGCATATTTATGTTCTATTTCTGTAGAAGGTGTTATTTTATTATGTTTCTTATATCCATTACACTATGTATAGCTCTGAAAGTGGGGTGCCTTCTTTCTTTTTCATTCTAGCTCCCGTCCCCATCAGGTGGCCTCTAATTACGCTTTTGTAAGCGCACCATACTACAATATCTGATGTCCCCTTATTTTTGTTTTCCAAGCAAAATAGTTATTGTTTTTTCTGTTCAATATAATAGTTTTTCTATAATATATTATCATTCAATCGTCAATCTTTACGAAACTTGTCAAAAGCATCTTTGTAATGGTCTGACCATGTTATATTCTGTATTACGAACTTTTTAACAAGGTATAGCATGGCCATATCCCCCAGAATAAGATCGATTCTGGAGAAGTAATTAAATGTTTTTGAATAACATGAGAAGTCCAACTCCAGTGGATGAAACGTTCTCCAAATATCCCTAAGATTATATTGATCTATCAAATTTTGTAATCTATCTGAAGTTCCTTTATTGATCTTTTTTCCATTACAGTTCTTCCTATCTTTAAAAGGGTCAATTACAATCTCGTTTAGAGTAAATGTGCAGGTGGAATTGTCTAAAGCCAATAAAAGTATGAGACACATACAGAACAGATATGTCAGGACTGTCACTGGAGCAGTTTGTTTTCTTGTCACTTGTAATGAACAACACAGTTCGGTATATTTGGATGAGAAATAGCTTTATTTTCTCCTGAAGGCATATGTAATGCACATAGCCAATGCACTCACACGTAAAAAGTTACTCCATTATAACCTGCTGTAGTGGTTACGATGCTAGGAGCCTGGCACAATTACTGGTTAAGGGGCAAACCGTTTTGTACCTGTGTCTGCGCTGGGCTCCTCTACAGCCGTTGTCGACATTTGACTTTTCCAGAGTTGCAGAGTTTAGCCGAAGTTGATCCTGCCGGCTGTTCATTGGCGGAAAGAGTTTGACCGCACTCAGCCAATAAATGCAATTATATGCATTGGAATAAGAATTTGACATTAGCCAGCCCATTACTCTACTTCTAGCCTGGCCAACAATATCTTAGTGACTCTACCAGAGATGGGAGTTATACTCCTTACATGTAGTGCTTCATAGCCAAGACAGGAGGGATGATAAAAACTAGAGGGGCAAAGATTTAAAAATATCAGGAAGTATTACTTTACGGAGAGGGTAGTGGATGCATGCAATAGCCTTCAAGCTGAAGTGGTAGAGGTTAACACAGTAAAGGAGTTTAAACATGCGTGGGATAGGTATAAGGCTATCCTAACTATAAGATAAGACCAGTGACTAATGAAAGTATTTCGAGAATTGGGAAGACTAGATGGGCCAAACGGTTCTGATCTGCCGTCACATTCTAGGTTTCATAGTGAAACGCTGCACAGACTCCAGGTACCACGTACACTTCAAATCACTACAGTGGTCATGGTGCTTGGATTAATCCTTTAACCCCTTAAGGACACATGACATGTCTGACATGTCATGATTCCCTTTTATTCCAGAAGTTTGGTCCTTAAGGGGTTAAAAATCCAACTGAGGCCCAGATGTCCCTACGGCCCTTTTACCTGGCTGGGGGAGCTGTCCTGGGGATTTATCCTTTAATCAGTGATGGGTCTACACACTAACCAGCAAACTCATTTAGGCCAAATGGCTAATTATGGAAAATTTGCGTACTCTGCTTTACTTCAGTCTAAATTTTACAGTGTATTCACAAAAATGAAAGGTTTGTGCATTTTATATAGCTACTTGTTCTAGCGATCTCACTGGTAAGGTTATAGAAGAATTACTAAAGGAACAAATTAGAAATTAAGTGTTTTTTTGCTTACATGAAAATGAGGACACAAGACATCACTGGACATTTCTGTACAACTTTATTAATACATTGACAAATGGAATTTCTGCACCAGTTTTATAAAATTAAAAAAAAAAAACAAGCACCAATCATCTGTATCACTGTAGCAGCATATTATTCATTTTAGCAATGAAAGACTAGTTTTTGTGATTTGGTTTAAACTTTTGATTAACGGTTAAACATTCCTTTGTTTTCAAGGCACGGAGAAGATTAAATAAGACGTGGAAAAGAATAAAAGAAACAACTTGTGAGATCGAGTTCTGCTTTACAAGACAATGGACACTGAACTCACAAGGTACTGTGAATAGTGCGAGGTTTGAAATGTCGACACATGGGAGAGGGTGGATCAAAGTGCGCAATCACCATAGAAACCAATGGAACTTGCACATTCTATTGGCGACTTTCCCTTTTCATTATTTTAAAACTACCTTTTAAAACAAAAAAAACTTCCTCTAAAATCTCTTCCCGTGTTATGGATAAAAAAGCAATATTGAGGAAAAGTTCTAGATGTGGTGCAATCACTGTGGAACCCAATAGAATGTCTCTATTGATTGCTCCACTTTTAGAATTGAGCCCCAGAATTGCTCTGCTCACATAACTCTAGTGTTCCTTCTTTGGTGTAATGCCTGCTTTTACTGTACAAAGTAATCAGAAACTTCAACTGCGGATTAATAGAAGCAAACAGATCAGCTGCTCTCCGAAATATAAGATAATAATAATATCGATGGCTCAATAAAAGTCTGGACAAGTCTGTATCTGACATCCTGAAAATCTGTGACTAAATATTTCCCCCCCCTTCTGTCACAAGTACAGTCTCTAGACAGGAGTGAGATCTGGCAAACCTTATTACAATAACTTATTTAAGATATGTAGCTTTAAAGAACCACTCTTGGTGGCACAACATCATCGAATGGATTATAGTGTAAGGCTGTCCTGGAGGCAATGTTATTGTAAGTAGTTAAATTTTTAACGAATGGTACAACCCAGTGGTTCCCAACCCAGTCCTCAAGACGCATCTCCCCATCCAGGATTTAGGGATTACCCAGTTGTGTCTAAGATTTTTTTTTTTTTTCCCTTTCTTTCTAAAAACACATTAAACACAACTGGGTAATCCTAAATCGTGTACTGGTTTGGGAACCACTGATGTAACCCCTAAATCAGGATGTCTCCCCCTAATTGCTCTGCCTAGTTACTTCCTTCAGACGTCAGAGGCTGCAAGTCAGGAAGCTAGGACCTGGCGTCACAGAGAGTATAAGTTGACACTCTCAGCATATCACCAGCCGCCCAATCAGAAAATCGAGTGAAAAAGATACGTACTTGTTTTACCCAATTTTCTGAATGCAGAGCTAGTGATAGGCTGAGAATGTCAAGTGACGCCGCGTCTTAGCTTCCTGATTGCAATGCCCAGCTACTTCATTTATTGGTCTGAGGCTTCAATCGGGCACAGTCTTCTAAAGGTTGAGGCTTAACAGTTTGGTAACATTTTAATTCCTTAAAGTGTCTCTGTCACCTCAAACCTCCCTTGCTCCTATTGTATCTACTTCTCTTCGTTATGGATCTATTTCTCACATAACACATAACACAATAAAGGGACTGTAGCTTATATATTTTTACTATGCTCGACAACCTTGACCTTTGTCAAGATTATCAAGCACAGGACAAAGTAGTCCCAACTTTATCTTATGATTTAAAAGAAATAGATCCGAAAAGAAGAGGATCAATTGGAGAAAGGAAAGTTTGAGGTGACAGAGCCACTTTAAGGTAATGCAGCACCTGGAACTTCCTCTTCCGACATTTAATATTTTATGTAGTGACTTTATAGCAATGTTGGTTCTCTTACAAAAAACACATTAAGTAAATTTTCACAGAGGTGGCGGAGCATTATAAAGCTACATATCTTACGATTTTTATGTAGCTTTTAAAAATTAACAGATCAAATAATCGATGTAAAACACAAAACAAAATCAGACTCCCCGTACAAGCACAGCTAGTCCTACTCACTGCAGCTACCTGTGCTTGTACCTTTAAGATGGTGAATATTACACATCAACATGGCAGAAAATTAGGATTATTGGATTACAAAACCAACAAAGCGTTTGAGGGTTAGATTACAGCAAGGCAGTATTAAATAGAAGGCTGCCAAAATGTCTTATTGAATTCCAGGAGTTTGATGAATAGGCAGACATAGTTTAGAATGAATTGTGCTTTGTTCACTGATCCAAGACAAAAAAAACCCAAAGGGGTGGGGGGGGGAATGAATATATTATATTATATATTAAAATGTAAAGGCATCTTACTCAATAAAAAACGTACTCCACCTTCTCTGAAGTAGCACACAGCATCCAAAACATAACACTCATGGGGAGAATTCCGGTGGTGAAATTATATTTAGTGTTAGAGCACACATACAATAGGTAAAGGTATATTTACTAAACAGTGATTTGCTGTGAATAAACAATTCAATGGGAACATATATGCTTACAGCAAAGAGCCGATCATACAATCTACATCTGGAATATTAGCTTGGCATTAATGTTCTGTGGATAAGCCGTCTTAAGCAGCTTTGCACTGAAATTAGAATCTAGATAAAGATCTGAAAGATACGTTTACTGTTTGAATTACCTGCATTCTGTGCTTAAAAAGGCAATGAATTGGGGTGGATGAACCCAAATGCAAACTTTAACAATGCCACAAGTGAGTTGCTATTTTCTTTTTCCATACATAATCAAGATGTAGCAGACCATTGTTTAAACAAATTCAAGTTTTTTTTTTTTTTTTTTTGCTTTTAAAAAATTACTTTACAAAAAAACAGTAAGTAGTGCAGTTAATTTGAGGTTACATAGAAATATTTGGTTAAGAAGGCAGTTCTACTGGCTCAATTATAACTGCATTGAATGGCGCTTGACAATGGCATAGAGGTAAAAACCAAGAAGCTTAAAAATGAAATCTTTCATGTGTGCATGTTTTATTCTATATAACACCCTGCCAAGTCCTGGTTGACATTCAACTGCTTTATACAAAGAGCCTTACATGATCCTACATGTAAGATGTATAATGATAGCAATACTGTGAAGTTTTTAATCCCTTAAGGACACAGGACATGTGTGACATGTCATGATTCCCTTTTATTCCAGAAGTTTGGTCCTTAAGGGGTTAAAGTGCAAATATCTTGAAAAAGGCATAGTATCATTTTTATGTATATATTTTTTTACGTTCTTGACCTTTACTGCTATGCCAAGTCTATGAATACAGCACCTCTGATGGCTTCAGCAGCTTCCTCAAAGAGAAATAATGCAGTGATACCGTGTGTAGGGTCTATCAGGGGTAGGTAACCTTTGGCTCTCCAGATGTTATGGACCATGTCTGCATTATGGGAGATGTAGTCAACAACATCTGGAGTGCCAAAGGTTGCCTACTCTTGGTTAGGGAGTAGTGCCTGCATGCAAAGTAATCCATTTTCTCCCAGAAGCCCTATTTCAAGGAACACTTCCAGCACTATAAACACTGAAGCTTGCTGTAGTATTTATGGTGCCGACACCCCCTCAATGTAAGTAGCCACTGTTTTTAGAATGGTTTAGCTGTTAGCCTTCTGTCCCTCAATGCGAACAGGGGGCTGGCTATAAGGAAATACCACCACTTGCCTCTATTTGTGGAGGCCATATTGGCGCACGCCAGACAGTAGCCATTTGGCTAGTACAATGTACAGAGAGTGTATTCAATGCTACGCAATAGCTCTCTCATCATGGAGTCCATTTAACAGAAAGGACGACACTTATTACCTGCAATAGTTCAGGTTTCAGATTAAGAATTAGTTGTTAGATGAGAGAGAAAAAAAAACACAATCTCATTTCACATCTTCACCGTCCGTTTTGGTCTGGATTGTGCATTTCAGAGAAAATCATAAAAACCCAGAAATGTGATTTTAGGTAAAAGATTGCACCAATTAATACGATGGCTCAGAATCACTAACTGTAAACACAAGGTAGGCAAGCATGGCACCATCACCTGAGCTTAGCTGGAATGGATTAAATTGAACGTGGAGAATGGCATCCAATAGCTGTGCGTTAACACAGCGCGGCGTGAAGCCATTACTGCTAACGGACTAGAAGGTCCAAGTCACAAATATGGGACACTGAGCATTTTCCAACATTTGGAAAGAGCCTCGTTAACATTATTAAAGAAACAATAGTCTATTACCCCCCCAGGGCCGGCAGTGCACACAGAATTAAATAAAGCCTTCATGTACATCCCAAACCTGAATGGGAAGGTTCTTATCAATTCCGTACTTAATTAACAAAAGCCGGAGAAAGTGCGAATTTCGTTTGAATGTAATACCTGTTGGCAGCATTCTCCCTTTTGTAAACGTGATTTTCTTCTATTTCCGGGTTTCTTTTTCAGATCAGAACATTTAATGACTGGCAGGGTGGCGTGAACAGAAGACAAATCATTTCTCTACCAATTTCCCCTGAAACTGGATACCCTAAGCTGTAAATCCCTGCACATTCTGTTCAAAGGTAAACTCCAGTGCGATTCTCTCATTCATTGTAAGCCCAGTTCACGGTAATTAGTGTTAAACTGCAGGCACCAATACAAATACCAAGAACAAGCAACCCACAGGCCTGGGAACAGAAGAAAAAACAAACAGAAATTAGTACTTGTGGAAGGAATCAATTTACACTCTATGAGAACAGGCTTTCTCGCTCTGCCGCCCTTTCCAGATCATGCTTTCAGAAAAGCAGCATTTCAATGTACAATCCTCATCAGAGGGTGTTTGAAATGTTCAGAAATTAACTAATTAATTCCTGGGGTAAAATGGACGCGGTTATCGCAGTCCACGTTTTAACATCCACGTGGTGTCTTTGCGCAAAATGTTTATTTACCTTTTGTTTGTTATATGATTTCAATAAGTTTGATAATTAATAAAATTTTGAGGTTATCATTTAACACCGTGCAATATTATAAAGAAATTAAATTCCTTCAATAAATCATACAGTTTATGGATATGTTACTGATAGAATGTACAGCACAGCAGAATATGTTGGCGCTTTATAAATGCCAGTATTAATAAATAGAATATCAGTATGTAATAAGTGCCAGCACTAACAAGTAAGGAAATATACATATACTGTATCCTTACTGTACTTACTGTACCTCCCTCTACTGTAATGTAACCTGTAAAGTGCTGAGTACACCTGTTAGTGCTATATAAATATAATATACACACACTGTATACCTACTGCACTTACTGTACCTCCCTCTACTGTAATGTAACCTATAAAGTGCTGAGTACACCTGTTAGAGCTATATAAATAAAATATACATACACTGTATCCTTACTGTACTTACTGTACCTCCCTCTACTGTAATGTAACCTGTAAAGTGCTGAGTACACCTGTTAGCGCTATATTAATAAAATATACATACACTGTATACCTACTGCACTTACTGTACCTCCCTCTACTGTAATGTAACCTGTAAAGTGCTGAGTACACCTGTTAGCGCTATATAAATAAAATATACATACACTGTATACCTACTGCACTTACTGTACCTCCCTCTACTGTAATGTAACCTGTAAAGTGCTGAGTACACCTGTTAGCGCTATATAAATAAAATATACATACACTGTATACCTACCTCACTTACTGTACCTCCCTCTACTGCAATGTAACCTGTAAAGTGCTGAGTACACCTGTCCGTGCTATATAAAATATACATACACTGTATACCTACTGCACTTCCCTCTACTGTAATGTAGCCTGTAAAGTGCTGAGTACACCTTTCAGTGCTATATAAATAAAATATACATACACTGTATACCTACTGCACTTACTGTACCTCCCTCTACTGTAATGTAACCTGTAAAAGTGCTGAGTACACCTGTTAGAGCTATATAAATAAAATATACACTCAGTAAGTGCGGTAGGTATACAGTGTATGTATATTGTATTTATATAGCACTAACAGGTGTACTTAGCCATTTACAGGTTACATTACAGTAGAGGGAGGTACGCTGTATACCTACTGCACTTACTGAACCTCCCTCTACTGTAATGTAACCTGTAATGTGCTGAGTACACCTGTCAGTGCTATATAAATAAAATATACATACACTGTATACCTACTGCACTTATTGTACCTCCCTCTACTGTAATGTAACCTGTAAAGTGCTGAGTACACATGTCAGTACTATATAAATACTATATACATACACTGTATACCTACCGCACTTACTGAGTGTATATTTTATTTATATAGCTCTAACAGGTGTACTCAGCACTTTACAGGTTACATTATAGTAGAGGGAGGTACAGTAAGTGCAGTAGGTATACAGTGTACAGGTTACAGTACAGTAGAGAGGTACACTGTATACCTACTGCACTTACTGTACCTCCCTCTACTGTAATGTAACCTGTAGAGTGCAGAGTACACCTGTTAGAGCTATATAAATAAAATATACACTCAGTAAGTGCGGTAGGTATACAGTGTATGTATATTGTATTTATATAGCACTAACAGGTGTACTTAGCCATTTACAGGTTACATTACAGTAGAGGGAGGTACACTGTATACTTACTGTACCTCCCTCTACTGTACTGTAACCTGTAAAGTGCTGAGTACACCTGTTAGCGCTATATAAATAAAATATACATACACTGTATACCTACTGCACTTACTGTACCTCCCTCTACTGTAATGTAACCTGTAAAGTGCTGAGTACACCTGTTAGAGCTATATAAATAAAATATACATACACTGTATACCTACTGTACTTACTGTACCTCCCTCTACTGTAATGTAACCTGTAAAGTGCTGAGTACACCTGTTAGAGCTATATAAATAAAATATACATACACTGTATACCTACTGCACTTACTGTACCTCCCTCTACTGTAATGTAACCTGTAAAGTGCTGAGTACACCTGTTAGCGCTATATAAATAAAATATACATACACTGTATACCTACTGCACTTACTGTACCTCCCTCTACTGTAATGTAACCTGTAAAGTGCTGAGTACACCTGTTAGCGCTATATAAATAAAATATACATACACTGTATACCTACTGCACTTACTGTACCTCCCTCTACTGTAATGTAACCTGTAAAGTGCTGAGTACACCTGTTAGCGCTATATAAATAAAATATACATACACTGTATACCTACCTCACTTACTGTACCTCCCTCTACTGCAATGTAAAGTGCTGAGTACACCTGTCAGTGCTATATAAAATATACATACACTGTATACCTACTGCACTTCCCTCTACTGTAATGTAGCCTGTAAAGTGCTGAGTACACCTGTTAGAGCTATATAAATAAAATATACATACACTGTATACCTACCTCACTTACTGTACCTCCCTCTACTGCAATGTAAAGTGCTGAGTACACCTGTCGGTGCTATATAAAATATACATACACTGTATACCTACTGCACTTCCCTCTACTGTAATGTAGCCTGTAAAGTGCTGAGTACACCTGTTAGAGCTATATAAATAAAATATACATACACTGTATACCTACTGCACTTATTGTACCTCCCTCTACTGTAATGTCACCTGTAAAGTGCTGAGTACACCTGTCAGTACTATATAAATACTATATACATACACTGTATACCTACCGCACTTACTGAGTGTATATTTTGTTTATATAGCTCTAACAGGTGTACTCAGCACTTTACAGGTTACATTATAGTAGAGGGAGGTACAATAAGTGCAGTAGGTATACAGTGTTCAGGTTACAGTACAGTAGAGAGAGGTACACTGTATACCTACTGCACTTACTGTACCTCCCTCTACTGTAATGTAACCTGTAGAGTGCTGAGTACACCTGTTAGAGCTATATAAATAAAATATACACTCAGTAAGTGCGGTAGGTATACAGTGTATGTATATTGTATTTATATAGCACTAACAGGTGTACTTAGCCATTTACAGGTTACATTACAGTAGAGGGAGGTACGCTGTATACCTACTGCACTTACTGAACCTCCCTCTACTGTAATGTAACCTGTAATGTGCTGAGTACACCTGTCAGTGCTATATAAATAAAATATACATACACTGTATATCTACTGCACTTATTGTACCTCCCTCTACTGTAATGTAACCTGTAAAGTGCTGAGTACACCTGTCAGTACTATATAAATACTATATACATACACTGTATACCTACCGCACTTACTGAGTGTATATTTTATTTATATAGCTCTAACAGGTGTACTCAGCACTTTACAGGCTACATTATAGTAGAGGGAGGTACAGTAAGTGCAGTAGGTATACAGTGTACAGTACAGTAGAGAGGTACACTGTATACCTACTGCACCTCCCTCTACTATAATGTAACCTGTAAAGTGCTGAGTACACTGGTTAGCGCTATATAAATATACATACAATGTGTACCTACCGCACTTACTGTACCTACCTCTACGATAATGTTACCTGTAAAGTGCAGAGTACACCTGTCAGTGCTATATAAATAAAATATACATATACTGTATACCTACTGCATTTACTGTATGTATATTTTATTTATTTAGCACTGACAGGTGTACTCAGCACTTTACAGGATACATTATCGTAGAGGTAGGTACAGTAAGTGTGGTAGGTACACATTGTATGTATATTTATATAGCGCTAACCGGTGTACTCAGCACTTTACAGGTTACATTATAGTAGAGGGAGGTACAGTAGGTATACAGTGTACCTCTGTACTGTACACTGTATACCTACTGCACTTACTGTACCTACCTCTACTATAATGTAACCTGTAAAGTGCAGAGTACACCTGTTAGAGCTATATTAATAAAATATACACTCAGTAAGTGCGGTAGGTATACAGTGTATGTATATTGTATTTATATAGCACTAACAGTTGTACTCAGCACTTTACAGGATACATTACAGTAGAGGGAGATACAGTAGGTAAGTTTTATTTAAATGTCTATATTGGTCTAGATTTTCTGCTGTCTATTTGCCACTGATTGCAATGGGGGTTTACAGTTAGAGGTTTTGGACTATAACTGTCCCATGGAAGAGCAAGAAAATCGCCACTAAAGTTACTTGTGAAAAATGTCCGTTAGAATTGTATATTATTAACGGATTGCAGTGTCTTTCCAAATGTATCACCTACCCCGAGCTTCTGTAGGGAGCAATAAGGTTCCGTGCTAAGCTTGGCATAAAATAGTCCCGGGAAAACAAACAGAAGACAAGTTGACGTAGTGGATCCTGGAGAGTGGGAGAGAAACAATATACGATTCTTTAATGAACGTTTAAAAAAGAAAGCTCAATAACTTCATCGATAAAGCCCCCTGTACTGAGCAAAATTCATGTTTTTATTTTATTTTTTGTGAGTGTTATGTTTTTATTATTTACCCAGGAGCCTTGCTGAATCTATTTTCTATGATGGGGATTTATACCATGTAAGCCTTGTAGATTGAGCAATTACATATTGCTCAACAAATTGTGAGGATTTCTTTTTTTTATTTGCTGTTTTATACTATGTTGCTGTGTTCTGTCTCCACATATCACCGAGTTCATGCGGAGTTCATCCATGGTGACAAGGATCCCAGAGTGGGGAATAGACCTGTCCACACCATTACAGGGGAGCCAATTTGGGCTCACTAATAGGTGAGTATATATACCTTTACCATGATATTCACTACTAAGAACATACCTCACCCTAGAGCACCTATTTCTGTTATCATGAGGATCCACATAGTTAGGAACCCATCTCCATCATCCATAAGTGGGGGTTATATCGCTCATGCCTATTGAATAGAGCGGATGGTAGTTCCCAATTTTGTACCTATTTACCCTTTCTCAACCCCCACTTTCACACTATACTACACCATTGGATCCTCTCTGTTCTTTTGTTTCCGCATATCTCAGTCTCTACCCCCGCTGCTTGCTACTCTTTAAGTTTGTCACAGCCATGAAAAGTATTACGAATACAAAAGCCCTTTCTAAACTCATTACTTCTTAATTTCATTTTTAAACTGGCGTTACCAAACCAATTAAACGAAAAGGAAACTGCCTGTAATGTTGGTGCCATCATTTATTTTCCCTTTTAGAGGAACACGCTAAGTACCATAACCACTACAGTTCACATTGTGAGTAGTCAAACTATTTTAGAACGGTTTGATTACTTATTTGGGGTTCTGACCTTCACCACATCAGCCAGGTAGCTGCTCCTTCTTAGGAACTTCTGTTAACTCTCCTGCTTCACATCCAAAATACAACACTATCCTAATACATTAACGATGTTCAGTGATGGCAACAGACAAACAATCTTTCCACAAAAAGAGACCATTGTTTTCTATCAGCCTGTTTTACCCTGAAAGAGGCTTTCAGTCCTACACAGCTAAACAATAGTTCTTATTCGATTTTATATTAATTATACAGATTATCTGGGTAAACTGGCTTCACTCTTCTCTACAATGTACAATTGTAAAATGCAGCGTAATGTTTCCCACAATGACACCAGGTGATGGTATTAACAGGTAAAGATTTGTTCCCAAATCAAGGAGTTTTTGACAATTTCACCAACTGCGCAATTTTAGCCAAGGATTTCCAAACACCTTGTTAATTTTCCCACAAGTTTGGTTCTAAATATCCCATCAATAAAAACTAAAAGACTTACCGACCACCCCAAACACATTCCTTATATCTGGTACGTAGATTGCAAGTAGAACGATAATTATATTAAGTGCCAACGTCACCAGAATATGACGAGCGTACGAGAAGGGACGACTAGAGAAAACCATCATTATAAAGGCTTTCCGAGCCTAAAAATAGAAAGAAAATAAGTGCAGTGGATGAAGATTTGTTTTTACATTTAATGCATCAATGTATCTTGGCCCTATCACGGATTGAATTATTTTTCTTCTCCACTTACAGGAAAATGTATTAAGGGCACAGTGAGCAGAACCGCGAGGAGTATGAAGAGTCGCACTGTGATGACCAAGACATCACTGGGGAGGTATTTGCTGTAGCCTTGCAGCAGTTCAGAATCTACTTTATCTGAAAAACATCAAGATTGCGTTACTGTAATGGTGAAAGGCGAATAATCAGCGGACTTCGCAAACATTTCTGTTGGGAAACCAACTCTGGTAGATTTTATTTATTGTACTATCTCAAAACAGTACGAAATACACAATTAACATTTAAAATAAAGTAGTGTGTTGACTGTTTATTGAATGGACAAGTTCTTTATGTTCCTCAAACAAGAATTTAAATATATATATATATTGTGCTTTTTATTTATTTTTTTATTTTATTTTAAATCAATCAGATAAAAGAAAGCTAATGTAACCCTGGCATATCAGGACTGACCATGTAAATTAGTGTCCGTCATTATCCTTCCTCCAAAATATATAAAGTTTATTAACTTCTTATCCCATCTTGCGAATACCAGCTAAAATTTCTCAACTTTGAAATGAGGATTATCCTCTAAACAGTAACAGGTGGTGTATTGACTCCAGTCGTCCTTACACTATTGTATCCTATTTGCAAAACACAAAATCCTGCATAGTAATTTGGTTTCTAGAGCTGATAAATAATGAAATGCACAAAGGTTAGAGCAACATATGAAAGATGATAAAACTCCGCGTAAGATGATCTGTGCAAAACACAAGACAGCTGCCCCATCCTTCTTAAAGGCATAGCGTTTTCACACGGAGTCTCGTATTTAACAGAGACGTTCATGGGAATATATTATTCATTTGCATCATAATATAAAGATTCTATTATTATGTTTCATAGGTTTTTTTTTTAAATTGCATAGCAACCAATATGAACGAAATCCATTCTAAACTGAATATTAAGTGCATTAAGGAAAATAATATTTTCGTTATCTTTTTGTAACATTATTTTGTTACTTTTAATTTGTAAACAGAAGAGGAACTGATCCTCACAATTTAAACTCTCCCGCACTCCAGAATGGAGTTACTTTTAACCTACTGGGAGATATAGCAAGAGCTGGTCCAGGGTGCTGTGCACAGAGTATCTGCAAAGCCTGACAGTGTGCTACAGCTTGTCATAGTAACAGTTAGAATTTATATACGTACCGTAGAATGTGAGGTATCCAAACAAGGCAGATATGAAATATATGATGAAACTTAACACTATCCCCAGGTTGGCCACGTTCTGCATCCGGCTCTTGGATGGACTGAGAGGGAGAAACAAATATACACAATCTGCAACGATGCGGGAATTAATTTTTTTCTTGCCCGTTTAAAATGAAAAATAATGTGTCTACATAAACCCACATATAGCTGTGCTATCACCAGTTTATTGGGACTTAAATGCCAATATTCATAACTGGTGGTCATCGTGGTGGGAGATTTATATAAACTCCCCAAAATAAATTATTTCTACTTAATAATTAAGGACTTGTCGAAATAATGGTGCAATTTCAAACCAAGCGCCATCTATTTAATTATATATATTGGTTTTTTTTTACCTTTGAACCTGTGCAGTACATACAAAGATGTCTAAATGGATTTTATACACTACAGCAAATTGGGGCATATCTGCAATGTTATTTTTTTCTCCAATCCGAACGCTTTCATGTAAAGCAGACGGTAACAGATACAGAATGGAAATTTATATGAAGTTTTACATTTTTATATAAACTGGAATTAAAATGATTAATAATTACTTTTTTCGATTTTGCCCCACCTGGGTTTCTGGCAGGGATCTTTCAATGAATAAGTAAAAAAAAAAACCAAAAAAAAAAAAAAACAAACCAATAGAACTATTACGCATTTGCAACCTTTTAATGATACATAACTCTGCTTTCCTCTCTCACCTCCAAAACAAAAGTATTGTTGGGCAACACTAAATATATTCACCAAACTGTGCACTGTCTGGAATTCACTTGGAATTACCAAGATAATAAATTGAATACATACCTTTTAAGCTCACAGTAAATCGGCAACACTGATGTATGGCAAAGGAAGGAGAAGGCCATCGTGGGTAAAGCAAAGGCGCTCTAAAAGTTAAAAGAACACAGATTAATTTATACAACGGGGCTGTGTAACCAGGTTCTTAATCCTGAGCGTGTGTGTAATGGTTAATAAAGCAGTAACAGTAAGTGATACGGTTATGTGAACATGAAACGCGTATTCAACAGAAAAATGCAGAAATTACACAACAGGGATATCAAACTCTATCCTTCAGGGCAATTAGCCTAGCCGGGGGTATACAATTTCTCTAAATCGCATGTAAGCAAACTGTTAACTGTTTACGTAGACACTGTGCATACTATTATCTCCCCCTATTAGGTATAACAAGCAAGGCGGTCTACCAAGAGAAGCCCAATCACCCACTTCATGACACACTGTGCCAGAAACTACCAAGATATAATGGGATTTGTTTAACCTTTGTCGTGAAGGGGTTAAATTCTTAAAACTGCTCGCTCGGGAAAGAATAAAATCTCACTTCCATTTATAAAAGTGACGTGAATACCAAAAATTGCCACGGTTACGCGATTATGCACATTGTACGCAGTCTTCATTTTACAGCAAATAATGGGCAGCTTTGACCGGACAATAGGGAGGTTTATAATGCAGGGTGTTCGTTTTTTATTGCACTATAACATAGATCTTCGTATGTACAAACCTGACTTATAAAGCCGTTTAAAATAGGAGGAGGTTTTTGTTGTGGTTGTAAACTTTAAAAGACCATGGGTTTGGAAAACCCATTTTATTATTAAAACCGAGGTACATCAATGGGTCAAAGGTAAAATATGGAGACCCGACCCAAAGGTAGTACGGAGGTTTTTTTTTGTGTCTGTTATTTAACACTGCATGATTGCTTATAGTTAACCAAAATACAAAAACATTTATTTATTTATAGATATATATATTTATAAAAAAAAAACCTGATTCAGGACTACGCTCGCACAATAAAGTGATACGAAGCAGAAAAAACTGCACTCTAACTTTCTTTTGCAAACTCTGCAACCCAACAAAAGTTTAAAACAAACAGAAAAAAAGTTTTCATAGACGAGCTCTGTAACAATGCAGAGGTAGCTGCACCCCAGATGATAATCAAAAGAACCACTTCACAATGTTGTTGTTGTAATTGAACACTGCTGTAAAAGACCACAGTTAAATCGAGCTTGACAAGAACAAGCATTCTTGGATTACATTTCTGAATGTCCCCAACATTTTAAATCCCACCACCAGTCGACCTTGGTGTAACCCGATTCTCCCTTGGGGCCTATTATCCCCTGGATGGTGCCAGCTTTTGAAGTGCACAAGATCAGAGGGTCTCTGAGCTCTGTGACTGCCAATCAGTAGCCAGCACTGTAATGCCATAGGGTGGAGCTCTTACAGTGACATTATTACCGGAGGGCGATACATTGATCACCTTTCAACATTCACTGTTCTGACCTAGATCTATGTTGCAGATATTGATATCATGAGCAAAAACTTTTCTTCGGAAAAAAATATTAAATCCATATTGTCATTTTACCAAAAACAAGGAAAGATACTGGGGGTAAAAAAAAAACAGGAAAAATCTAAAAACTCCTTTACAGTAACTGGTGTCTGTTATGTGTTTACAACGGTATATTTGTTGTTATATGTATGTCCCCTTGTTTTGTTTTTTTGGAGTATTTCATTAAGGTTTTATACAGGTTTTTGATGCAGTCATTTATTTGCTCACATAAAGAAAATACATTTTATCTTAATTGGAAATAAATGTATTCCAACATGTAAATAATAATAAATGAATGAGGTATGCAAATAAAATGTACCATCTCTCTCTGTAACATATGGATATAAAAGCTGCATGGTGGGATTCTTGCAAAAAGCAGAAAGTGAAACTTATTATCATCATCATGTATATGGCGACAACATATTCCACAGCGCATTAAAATGATAACATGGGGATTTCTAAGAACAAGTAATTTTTATAAGTAATATAACCGAGAAGGGGTAAAGACACACACGAGAAATAACAGTATGTCAGAGGGGGTTGGTATTGATGGATAAGATGCCGTGTGGAACCAAAGAGTGTCAGGAGAGAGAGTGAGCTGGGCTATGGAGGCAAGGGAAGCGATAAGTGCAGTGAAATGAGAGAAGTGTTACCCAGGAAGATGGTACGTTTTCCTATAGCTGTGTGGCTGTGTTCAGTGACTTCTTAAGGATTGGAGGCTGGGGGAGAGGCTGATAGCGTGGAGTAGGGAATTCAGGTGAGAGCTGTCAAAATGAGAATAAGCGAATAAGGACAAGGACATTTGCAGAGTGAAGGGAACGTGAAGGGGTGTATTTGTTGATTAAAGAGGAATTGTAGTGAGGAGTGGAGTTAGTGAGGGCTCTGTAGGTTAGTGTTAGCAATCTGCACTGGATCCTGAAGGGTACAGGAAGCCAATGATTGACATAGCGGTGAGATGTGGGGGTAGCGGTCAGTCAGGAAGATGAGCCTGGGTGCAGCATTCATTACAGACTGGAGAGGAACAATGCCGGTATTTGGAAGCCCGATGAGTAGTGACTTAGAATAGTCATGTCGGGAAACGATGAGTGCATGAAAAAGTGCCTTAGTTGAATCTTGTGTTTGACAATGGTGAATGCGGGCAATGTTGTTAAGGTGAAAGTCTGGAACAGATTTGGAGGGAGACTTGATGTGAGAAGAAAAGGTAAGATTTAAAATGCATATTAAAAAAGCCAAATGAGCACAGTGTTATGGAAAATTGAGTAGAATAATTAAATTCTGCGGGTCCATGGTTACATCACACGAGTTTGTTAGTGTAAAATGTCAGTGATGACAGTACTCACCTCTCTGGAAAATTCAAAAAGCTTTGGTTTACATTCAGAATTGTTGGAAACCTGAGGAAAATAGCAAATTTCACGTTATTCTTTTAGTTTGGAGATTGTTTTAAAACACACACCTCTGTAAATTCTCACTGTGTTGTCATTTTCAAATTATTGTGTTCAAACAAGACAGACATGCACACAAAACAGCATTCCTCTGGCATTAAAGGCACACTCCGGGCACCATAACTACATCAGAATTAACTTGCTACGGTACGAGGAGGACCAGGTGCTGCCTTAGCTGAAAGGTAAATTGTTAACCCGATTGCGCTACTCCTGAATTTTCTCTCAATGTCTGATGGTTCAATCAGGAGTGTACGTTTCTAACTATTTTCTCAATGCAGAGCTACTAATGCTCTCAGCAGTGCCCAGGCCAAGGCTTCCAGACTGAAGTTCTGGCCTCCCCACACCATTAAACTTCTATTCTGATGATGTTATGTTGGTCGGTGTGGTCCTTTAAAGGAGAGGCATGTCCGCTAAGGGTTTATTCACTAAACCAGGGGTAGGCAGCCTTCGGCATTCCAGATGTTAAGGATTACATCTGCCATGAGGCTTTGCTAGCATTATGGAAGATGTAGTCCACAACATCTGGAGTGCTGAAGGCTGTCTGTCCCTGCATGATATAATATATTAAAAGCAGGAAACAGTTAAAATAGCCAAAGACGCAACTATATCAGAGTTTAAGTAATTATTCCTAATAATCACATTTTACATAAATTTGAGGATTAGTGAACAGCTCACAATCTGTTCACTTCCATCATATGCAGATAAACAAAGAAGGTATATGTATTGACCAACACACCGAGATCATGGCATAGAATAGGTCAGGTGGCCAATAGATGAATACAAAGGTAGATTCTACTCCAAACAATGAGAACAGGTCTGTTTCTACAGGCACAGCTTGTTCTGAGTGACAGATCTCCACGTGACAATGACATGTGGAACCAGGATAGACTGTGGTATCTTAGCCACTTCCTGGTTTGTTCACATATCAATGCAGCAGTTCCTGGGTTACTGAACACAAAAGGTCATTCAGATGACAGTATTTTTTACTGTGTTCTCCCTATAAAACATTACAGAGACAAGTGGTAACTGCCCTGGGGCCCATATAAAGTATATTAAATGGTATGATGGGCAATAAATTGGTTCTTAGTCTAGGCTTCAGAAAGATATTAAACCATGGGAACTGACCAACAAATAGTGTCAGGGTACTAAATAAGGGCAGTTACTTTCAATGCATGACTAGGAGAGTACGGATCAAAAGTGTTAAACAGTGAGCAATCACCATTAACATATAGCTCTGAACCAGGACTGATCATGAAAATTCTATTACCTGCAAATATTCAATTGTGTGGTTTAACGGCAGCGGGCATGGGATCGACCATTTTTTTATGACAATCTGTAAACATAAAACAAGTTTAATATGAAAATAAATATCCATGCAAAAACAGAATGTCAAGAAAAATGAACAACTTTATCTAAAACTAGGTGGGAGATTTACCAAAGTGTTCTAAAAAGTGGACTAAAGTACAGAAAGTGGGACAACCACCATGGAAACCAGTGGAACCAGCAGTCACGTTCCATTGACAACTCCTCCACTTTTCAGAACATTTTGGTAAATCTCCCCAAATCCTGGCCCGAGTAATCACAGCGAGGATAACCCCTCAGAAACAGCAGAGTGAGATCAAACGAAGGCCTGGATTTAACATTGTTAGTTGTGTTTTTCTAATGATCACAATCACAATCTTTCCAAATGTTGTATTATTCACCATTAACGTCTATGGGATTTTTGGTAGATAAATCATTTGAAAAGTTTCCAGTGATAACATTTTGACTATGCAACATGACACGAGACTAAGGAATACCGAGGAACTTCTATTAAATATGTAGAAAATACATTGGACATCGTAGCTGCTTTATCCAATGACATTACGTTACATAAATCCATTGATCACTATTCTAAAAAAAACAAAACAATGTAGCAAGCAATAATCTCAATTTTACTGATTACTTTTTATAATTTTACTGATTGAAAGGAAATGAAACATCTGTTGAAAGCATTTATTGCCAGCAGCCAATCAGAACACTGGTTTGGCCAGTTCGGTCCTAGCAGTCTACTTTGGATTGGCCAATTAGCTGCAAGCAGTCTACTTTAGATTGCCCAATTAGCTCCCAGCAGTCTATTTTGGATTGTCCAATTAGCTCAAAGCAGTCTACTTTAGATTGGCCAATTAGCTCCCAGCAGTCTATTTTGGATTGGCCAATTAGCTCCCAGCAGTCTATTTTGGATTGGCCAATTAGCTCCCAGCAGTCTATTTTGGAAGATGCTGAATGTCTAATGTGGTCAGATTAATTGCAAATCTTTAATTGAGCTTTTGTTGAAAACACTGGTTAACACATTTACTAATAATAAATATAAGACACTGCCGTTTTCAAAATACAATGTGTTGGGCAAAGCGAATAATTCTTTTTAAAAACCCTTTGCCAAAAATGACAAAGTTCAATATACAAAATATATAATTCTCATTCAAATCACTTTATTGCAAGGCTTACAACAGATTGGTTTTGTCCCTAAAATTAAGTCAGATGTCAGCAGCCCAAAAAGACTCCAATTGATCAAATACGTTTAAAATGCTGCTTTCTCTATATGGTGAAGGAGGTGAACTGGTTAGTATAGATCACATGCATTATTGAGGACAAGAGCAAAAAGTCATTTAGCTCCCATTTAATATGAAACAGAGAATTCTGCTCATAGCTTGCTTCACATGCTGATTCCACAATAATATTAACAATGAAAAAAATCAAATAAGTAATACATATTTATACAATGTGAAGTCTTTAATCCTCTTTACACGTTGAACGTTACTCACTAAACTCCAAATATTCTGGAATTACAATCCCAATGACAGAACGCAGGCTAGTAAAACGCAGTTGTGGCTACAGCCAAGTTGTGGAGCTTTTACAAATGAGCTATTTTAGTCTATAGTGTGGCAAATGTATTTCAATTCACTACTACACAGAGTTCAGCAAGTAAACCCCAATGTGTCATTAAACGGTGAGACTATATTTTTAAGTATCGCTTTAACAAAAATATATAAATAAAAAATGCTTTGACATTTTAACTGCTCATCAAAGAGAAGACAGTGTTAAACAGATTGATGACCATGTCGGTAAGCAGATACTGTTAGACATTGAGTAGATCAGTAATCGTAACTGATGAAAGAAAGAAAAAAAAAATACTTGACAAATTTTGCTCACATAGAAAGAGGGAGCACAGCCCATCAGTTTAACCCATTAAGCACCAACAGTACGAATTTCTGTCATGACAATCTGGCTCTGAGAGACCTTATGCCAGCATTACAAGTCTCACTTAGTTCGAATTGGCAACTTCGTAGACGGCTATGGCGACAGAGATGGCTATTAGCCCCCTCATGGCTTAATGACTAATAAAGAGAGTGCATAAAAGCACAATTTAATAGGGCGGTGGGTGACATGGGCTAGTCAAAAGGCACAACTTAAATTTTTCGTTTACAAAGTAGGGAGACACGGCTATATTAAAATATAAAAGTCTTTTCTAAACTACTTTGCGAAAATTAATCTTGGTGCAGAATACATTTATTTTTTTCGTGAGCGTGCAAAGATTGCAATCTACTGTCAGAATGCAAAGTGTCAATGACAGAAATACATTTCAAGAAAAAAAAAAATGGAAGAGAAAAAGAAAATTCAAAGTGGAAGAGTTATTTTAGGAACTTACCACAATTGCAAAGTACACCATAAAGAAAAATGACAAACTACTTGTGTAGCCAAGAAAGCCTGTAAAATAAAAAGCAATTTCTGTGTAACGTGATCCTAAAGCCAAGGGTATAGATTTCTAGGTTTTATTTTATAGTGCGTGGTATCTGGAGCTTGTAGCGTTCCCTCGCGCATGTCACAGATCATTTACATCATTTTGTAGGGTAGAATTAGAAATGGCTTACCACTAATGGAATGTCATAAGTAAAAATCTGTCCTTTAATGTTTGCCAGTAAAATTTTATTTTAGTGTAACAGACATCGCACTACTGTAACCCAAGTAATAGCTTAACAAGCCAGGCCCCATGGCTGAAATGAATTAAAATACCCCAAATTAAACACCACCCCTTTCCTTCCCAGGCCCCTTCCATTACAATCTTTAGAAAGCTTTTATGCCTTACCTATTTTGGGAAGGAGGGCTAACGGAAGAACAACGCACACGCATGTGATTATTAGTAATATTCTGCCGTCGAGATACCACGAACTAGAAGCAAATAAAGTGTACAAACATATCAATGCCACAACCGAAACAGGGAGGAAGATATTATCATTAATATGGTACAAGATGTGCTACAGGTAAATTAATCCATTGTATCAATAGATATTGAGCTGGACTGCTCTATAGAGGAGGCCAGCCAATGGGTTCTTCATTTCATATTGCCTTCTATTCCATGCGACTGATTTGGACATACTGTTGGGTGTGAGGTTATTAAGAGCCATTTCAGGAAATGTACAAAATAAAAATGCATGTACATTGTCTTTATGATTTTAATTGTGTTTAGATCTTTCCAGTTCATTGTCTTCACTGAAAAAAAGCAAAACATCTAAACATTATTTAAAGGGACATTACAGTCACCAAAACAACTTTAGCTTAATGAAGCAGTTTTAGCAATGTATTTCCCATTCTGCTCAATTTCCTGCCATTTAGGAGTTAAATCAGTTTTGTCTGTTTATGGAGACCTAGTAACACCTCCACTGGCTGTGACTCACACAGTCTGCATGAAAAAAAAAATGTTTTTTATTTTCAATCAGTTGTTAACTTACTTATCTCCTGGTCTGTAAATTGAACTTTACACTGGAAATTCCTGCAAGGTCTAGCAAGTTAACAGTGCACGATATAAGGAATTCTAAATTAAACATAATGTGCAATAAAGGAAGTTTAAACATTAGACCTCACTTTACCAGAAGTGTTTAGGAAGGTTGTACAAGTCACACGCAGGGACGTGTGACTAGGGCTGCATAAACAAAGTGATTTAACTCCTACATGGCAGAGAATTGAGCAGAGAGACTGCAGGGTCATGGTTTATACATCAAAACGGCTTCATTAAGCTAAAGGTGTTTTGGTGACTATAGCTCTTTCCTTTAATGGCCATCACTCTGCAAAGGGTCTTGACCGATATTAAATAGGTCTGAGGTTGGTTGGTTGGCTTACTCATACACACAATATTATGAGACAGGAACTGCTGACTGAACAATTCAACAGCAAACAATCAGTTTCCTGGTAAAGTGGCTTTAAAAAGCCATGAAGAAATGCAAGGGGGATGGTTGATGGTGCAGTGAGATTTACATCTGGCGGTTCTCATATTATGTATATATTTTGGTTGTTATTGGACAAACCAGGTAGCTGGTCGCATTATAGAAGATCAGACTCACTGGGGTATAAATAGCACGTTTTACTGCACCGTGCAAGCAAACTCCAGGAACACAACAGGTAAGTAGATGATTCATGACAGCGCCTGGGTATCGGTCACTTACCCGCTGTGATCTCCAGACAGGAACCCAGCAACAGCAGAGGGCAGCTCAGATTTGATGATAAACAAATAGGATGACATAGCTGTAAAAACATGAGCAAGACATTTTAAAATGGACCAGAATTTCTTCTGAAGTTCTAAAGAACTGAAACTGGTCGGGCACTGGTTGCATAGTTGCCCTTGTCCCTTTCCCCCATCTTACCTGCCAGCCAATAAATCACTAGTCTGTAGGAAATTCAAAGTTTAGGATAAAATGGGTGAATTGAAAAAATTCTCTAAGTCAGTTTTGCTCTCAGTTTGGTTATTTTTGGACAAATTATACTCCCTTTAAATTCACTTTGAATTTCAGGCACTTTATTAAATAATCTTGGATGCATTTCTGATCAAGCTCGTACAGTGTAGCGTCACAAAGCACTTTGATCTTTAGGGGTTTTAACCTGTAAATCACAGGTGAATCATAATAGCAGAGAATCAGCATTTATTGTTAGACAAATTGCACAGAAACTCCATCACGAATTGTTTGGAAGATTCCCCATGCTTTAAACAGAAACGATTATAAATAACATGATTTATGGTAAAATATCCGGCCTGAAATAAATTCTTAAATATTAGCAGCTGCATTTAATTCACAAAAAATGGAATTTTAGTGAATATGTCAAATAAACAATAGCTATCTATTGCCTCCCTGGAACATTTGCTCGAATCGCAGGTTTAAGCAGAACAGCAGAACTAGGAGAAAGAATATCCAAAACGTAGCCATTACAAGCCCAGTGCGGGAATGCTGCACGGCCGTACAGTATGCATATTGTAACAGATGCTGTACGGCCGTATAGTATACTTATTGTAACAGATGCTGTACGGCCGTATAGTATACATATTGTAACAGAAGTTGTATGGCCGTACAGTATACATATTGTAACAGATGCTGTATAGTATACATATTGTAACAGATTCTATATGGCCATACAGTATACAAATTGTAACTGATGCTGTACGGCCGAACAGTATACATATTGTAACAGATGCTGTACGGCCGTATAGTATACCTATTGTAACCGATGCTGTGCGGCCGTACAGTATACATATTGTAACCGATGCTGTACGGCCGTACAGTATACATATTGTAACAGATGCTATATGGCCGTACAGTATACAAATTGTAACTGATGCTGTACGGCCGAACAGTATACATATTGTAACAGATGCTGTACGGACGTATAGTATACATATTGTAACAGATGCTGTATGGCCGTACAGTATACATATTGTAACAGATGCTATATGGCCGTACAGTATACAAATTGTAACTGATGCTGTACGGCCGAACAGTATACATATTGTAACAGATGCTGTACGGACGTATAGTATACATATTGTAACAGATGCTGTATGGCCGTACAGTATACATATTGTAACAGATGCTATATGGCCGTACAGTATACAAATTGTAACTGATGCTGTACGGCCGAACAGTATACATATTGTAACAGATGCTGTACGGACGTATAGTATACATATTGTAACAGATGCTGTATGGCCGTACAGTATACATATTGTAACAGATGCTGTACGGCCGTATAGTATACATATTGTAACAGATGCTGTATGGCTGTACAGTATACATATTGTAACAGATGCTGTATAGTATACATATTGTAACAGATTCTATATGGCCGTACAGTATACAAATTGTAACTGATGCTGTACGGCCGAACAGTATGCATATTGTAACAGATGCTGTACGGCCGTACAGTATACATATTGTAACAGATGCTGTACGGCCGTACAGTATACATATTGTAACAGATGCTGTACGGCCGTATAGTATACATATTGTAACAGATGCTGTACGGCCGTATAGTATACATATTTTAACAGATGCTGTATGGCCGTACAGTATACATATTGTAACAGACGGTGTACGGCCGTACAGTATGCATATTGTAACAGACGCTGTACAGCCGTACAGTATACATATTGCAACCAGTGCTGTACGGCCGTACAGTATACCTATTGTAACAGACGCTGTACAGCCGTACAGTATACATATTGCAACCAGTGCTGTACGGCCGTACAGTATACCTATTGTAACCGATGCTGTACGGCTGTACAGTATACATATTGTAACAGATGCTGCAAGGCCGTACAGTATACATATTGTAACAGATGCTGCACGGCCGTACAGTATACCTATTGTAACCGATGCTGTACGGCCGTACAGTATACCTATTGTAACAGATGCTGTACGGCCGTACAGTATACCTATTGTAACCGATGCTGTACGGCCGTACAGTATACCTATAGTAACCGATGCTGTACGGCCGTACAGTATACCTATAGTAACCGATGCTGTGCGGCCGTACAGTATACATTTGTAACCGATGCTGTGCGGCCGTACAGTATACATATTGTAACAGATGCTGTACGGCCGTACAGTATACCTATTGTAACCGATGCTGTACGGCCGTACAGTATACATTTGTAACCGATGCTGTGCGGCCGTACAGTATACATATTGTAACAGATGCTGTATGGCAGTACAGTATACATATTTTAACAGATGCTGTATAGTATACATATTGTAACAGATGCTTTATGGCCGTACAGTATACATATTGTAACAGATGCTGTACGGCCGTACAGTATACATATTGTAACAGATGCTTTATGGCCGTACAGTATACATATTGTAACAGATGCTGTACGGCCGAACAGTATACATATTGTAACAGATGCTGTACGGCCGTACAGTATACAAATTGTAACAGACACTGTATGGCAGTACAGTATACATATTGTAACATACTCTATGGCCGTACAGTATACAAATTGTAACAGATGCTGCATGGCCGTACAGTATATATATTGTAACAGATGCTTGATGGCTGTACAGTATACATATTGTAACAGATACTGCACAGCCGAACAGTATACATATTGTAACAGATGCTGTACGGCCGTACAGTATACAAATTGTAACAGACACTGTATGGCAGTACAGTATACATATTGTAACATACTCTATGGCCGTACAGTATACAAATTGTAACAGATGCTGCATGGCCGTACAGTATATATATTGTAACAGATGCTTGATGGCTGTACAGTATACATATTGTAACAGATACTGCACAGCCGAACAGTATACATATTGTAACAGATGCTGTACGGCCGTACAGTATACAAATTGTAACAGACACTGTATGGCAGTACAGTATACATATTGTAACATACTCTATGGCCGTACAGTATACAAATTGTAACAGATGCTGCATGGCCGTACAGTATATATATTGTAACAGATGCTTGATGGCTGTACAGTATACATATTGTAACAGATACTGCACGGCCGAACAGTATACATATTGTAACAGATGCAGGGACAAAACACAAAACACGCAAATTTTCATGACATATTAATCACATGAGGACGAAGATGGGCTAAGATTTAGGTTGATGTACCACTGTCCACCTTCCCTGGAGGATCCTTAATTAGCAAAATATTACTAAATGTTTGTTTTTTATATTCCCCTGCAGTAAAGAATATGACCACCAGGGGCATCTAAGAGGTAATACGTGGCTTTCCAATGTTATACATGAATAAAGCACATTGCTGTGTATTTTGTGTGTTGTAGTGTTTATTGACGTATCCAGGAATTGACGAGAATTGCAAGTTTTACTTTACAAGCAATGAAACCAGCGGAATGCTCAAATTCAGCCATTTTAGTCTGCTTGGTTATCATACCCCTCTATAGTCTCAGATCTAGTGGATTAATACTAAAAGTGTTCCTTTATTTGTATTTTGTTATTATATTGCCACTGCAAAAATGATTTATCACATTTCTAACTCACTAAAGACGGGCAATATTAATGCTGATGGCAAGATAAATAATGGTTTATCACAGATTATTTTACAAATGGCTGGATCTGGTGAAGGGCAGAGGAAAAGATTTAAACAAATGCTCCTAACCAGGCCCTCCTTTATTCAAATAAATTGCTCCCAGGGAGCCAAGATGGATTTCCACAAATTCCTATTTATTAAATATAGGGATTTGAGCAGGGCACTCTTCAACCTATTGTTCCTTGGTTTTGGTAATTGACTCATTTATTGTTAAATCTCTCCCTTTGATAATATTGCAAAGCGCTACGGAAAATGCAGGCACTGTATAAATACCAGTAATAATAATATTATACTTAAAATACACGTAATATTCATTAAAGTTTGGAACTGAAAAAAAGAACAAGCTCTTTACTAGATATTTTAAACATGGTTATAGTGCCTACAGTGTTCCTTTAACTATGTCGTCTCATTGCAGTGGTTATAGTATCTAGACTTCCCTGGCGCAGTCCATCCCCTCCGTGCTGCTGGGACTAACGAGAAAGCATGGGCGACTGTGAGAGTCTCAGCTGACTCCGTTCAGCCTATCACAGCGCCCATTGCTTGTATGAATTTGTATGGCAAAAAGGAAGTGTGTAATCTCTGCTTAGCCACATCTCCCATAGAGGCGGAGCTATTGGAAACCCAGAAGCATTATTTAGTGTTAAACTGCTCGAAAATGATTAAACACTGAATAGAAACACTCTATGTAATATCACCAATGCAATGAGATGAAATGGTTATAGTGGTTACAGTCCCTTTAAAGAGCATTAAATAGAAAGGCATATAGGAACAACACTCCCAGCACAATTCTAATCTGATTCTCCCAAGAGAACGGAGAAATGTGTAACCCTTTTCAGACAAGCTTTGCACATATCATTTGACAATCCAGACAGGTTTTTGCCATGAACTGGAAACACGAGTAATTCGTTTGTTACAGATCTCTATATCTGCCCCCCTCGTTCGTAGTATTCTAGCTTTAATAAAAGGCAGACGTGACACAGGCTGCAGAAAACACCAATAGAATTATAAAGATGGAAGTATTCTAAAATCCGGCTTCTGAGCCCCAGGCGTCACAAGGGGAGGTTGGGTGCCGCAATTATAATCAATAGAGACAATTAAAAGGAAATTTCAGTTACACCACGGTCTTACAGCATGTCACATATGGAAATAAACACAGAGCTCCAATAATGGAGCTTTATAAAACATGTGCCAGTATCAGCAACACAAAACACAAGCTAAACCCAGAAACACTCCAATCCATATTTCCTGGTAAAACACTAATTATTACGAGAGCAAAAAACAGGGCGCAAGAGAATACGGAGAACGTGCAGCAGCTGAAATAGCCTGCCCTTCGGTGGGTCCCCGCTCAGAGCTCAAGCTGGTTTTAGCTCATCTTGTGCTATTACAGAGAGAACATCTCTGAAACATTGACTGGTCCCACCCATAAGGGCAGTCCAGATCCGAAATGCCAGCAAGTTTCCTCTGCACAAGAGACACAGCAACCCCAGACGATCGTTTCAGCCTTGTTAGGCATCATCAGTGAGGCATAGCTGGTATCTCTCTAGGCACCGTGAGCAAGGGGTCCACGTCTGGATTATCCCTTTAAACTTGTGGAGAGCAAAAAACAGGCCGCAAGAGTAGTAGTACTTTAGTAGATCATATATATATATATATATATATATATATATATATATATATATATATTTATTTATTTTTTTAAATCCCTTTCCCATTAATAATATTATTTTGCTAGTTTACAAAAAGAATACCCCACTAAGAATGTTTTTTCTTTTCTCTCTGGTTATTTACAGTGAATTAAAAGACAATCAGATTGTCAGCACAGGATGGTAGGCGATCAAACTACTTAAAGGATTAATTAGCCATCACTAAACAAACACGCTGAGTTTGGGAGGAAGCTGTGTGTTTATCTTCCAGTCTGGGGCGTTTTATTTAATGTATGTGTTTGCGGAGAGATGAGCACCATTCTCACTGTCCATTATATATCGGGATCCTAGAAAGTGGGGTTAAGTCTGCTCATATCAGGATAGATTTACTTTATGGAGAAGAATGAAAGAGTAGTATGTGTATGCAATAAAAACTACTCTCTAAAGACCTGAAATGGAAGGAAGAAAGTCAGATATTGAGAAATCCGGGCATATTAAATCTCATATATAACAAAGAAATTAAAATAATAAAATAATGGTGGCCATACGGTGGACTAAATTCCTATATATTTTTTTCCAGAGAGAGGTGATTTGAAGTGAATTTGTAAAATTTAAGACTGTATTTTTTGTGTGTGTGTGTGCTGTTCCTTATCTGTATTTTGTATAAATTCATTTTAAAACATACTTTGAGTGCTCAGTTTTTGTCAGTGTTTCCCATGTCAGACACGCAGTGCGAGCTATCTCAAATCATGCAAATTGTGTATAAATTTTACATGGACAAACTTTGTTTCTGATAACCCACTCAAAGGGTGGCCCTGGGTATATATACAGGTCATGTCCTAAATGTTATATAAAGTAAATGATCAATTATATTATAGTCTGTTTGTATTATTTTGTAATGCATACATTAAACAAAATGCGTCAAAGGAGGGGGGCGGGGCCGGGCCGGGCCGCCGAACTGAGAGGCAGCAACACACTATGTCTCCTGGCCTGAGCCCGGAAAAAACCCGCAAAATAAGCGCCCACAACACCCTGAAAAGGATTTGGCGGATCCACATTTACCAAACAGCACCCAAGCTTCCTGGGGATCCCAAACAGAGGCAGATCACAAGCCAGGAACACTGCAAACAAACAAGCAGGCCTTTGCACCATGAAAGATGGCGACTCCCGCCGACACGAACTGACAGGCAGGCGGGGGGCAATGATAAACCGGCCATAACAGCTACCTGGAAGAATTCTCCAAGGCAAGAGACGGCCCGGCTCCGCTCCCCCCCCCTGTTTTCCCCTATCCGGCTGGGGGTGGGGGGTAACCCAAGCCGCATGGCGGCGGCACCCTCCGAGGTGGAAGATACCGCACGGAGTCCAAGCTGCCCGCCTAAACGGGTAAAGGCAACAAATACAGCCCACCCGAAGACTTACCCCAGAAGGAGAAGCACCAAAGGGGACCAATATGGACGGCTCACACGGGCCCTGGCAGGGCCAGGTGCCGGACGGATCCACCAGGCCGTGACCTCGACCACGGGAGAGGTGTGTGCCCGGGCATTTGGGTCAGGGGTCCCCAGAAAGCCTAGTCCCTGGCGCTGTGAGCCGGTGGGGCGGGACTGTGCCGCCCCCCTCGACGGACCGGTGGTCGTGGGGGGCGGACGCCGGCTCCAAGCATGCGGCCGGCGTCGGGTGAGACGCAGGAACACACTCCTCAAGGGACCCAAGCGGGGCCGGGGAGGTGCAGGGAGTGGACGGCCGGAGGACTTATGTGGTGGGGCCCAACGGACAGTTTCAGCTCCCGAGTGCCCACGGAACTGTGGGGGACCAGACCGGTGAGCGGAGATCGGCGTGAGGGTGAGGGAAGGAGGCCAGGCACCCCAGGGACAGTGTGGAAGCAGCACCATGAGAGACTCCCCCAGACAAACATGGAGACTAACAGAGCCACCCTGCTGATGGATAGCTCACATTTGGGTCTTAACAGCTGCATTCATTTTTTCAGTTTTTATCTATTTTGATTATAAAATGCTGGTTTAAAATATCACAGGAATGTACAGTTAATGCCAGAATGCCCATAGGGGCCAAAGGTAGATATTGATGCATATTTAATTGCTGACTGCTGCATGATAGCCTGTACAGTCGCATATTACTGTAAACCTGGTATCCAAATAGCTTTGTTATATATTAAGGCAGCAGACTAAAAACAAATATGCTCCTTATGTTGAAAGTTGAAAAAGTTTTTGTATCTTAGATTATCGCTTAATGTCTGACTCTGATTAGCAAGCTGATTAAGCTGCCTCTGCACAGGCGACAATTTGCATTTACCAACTAGCAAACACGCAGCACTTAAACACACCAGTTAACACAAAACACTTACTTAACGCTATAACCAAACTAAAAAGGCAATACAGTACATAAGAGCATAAAACACAAAGCAACCAAATGTGCACAAAAAAACAAAAAACAAACACAGGCTAGGACAAACCCGCCTCTACGCAGGCGACCAAATGTATATGCAGTGTTAAACCAATGTCTAAGCCCCTGCGTGGGCAATCACTTGCTTTTATTATGAATCAATCTGATGCATGACTTTATATTGTGCATACAATAAAAATATTCAAAACAAAATGCGTCAAAGAACAAAATATCTCGTAATACTCCTGGAATTTTATCATTTCAATGTTAAAAGGACCACTCTAGGCACCCAGACCACTTCAGCTTAATGAAGTGGTCTGGGTGCCAGGTCCAGCTAGGTTTACCCATTTTTTCATAAACATAGCAGTTTCAGAGAAACTGCTATGTTTATGAATGGGTTAAGCCTTCCCCCTAATCCTCTAGTGGCTGTCTCATTGACAGCCACTAGAGGCGCTTGCGTGCTTCTCACGGTGATTTTCACAGTGAGAGCACGCCAGCGTCCATAGGAAAGCATTATGAATGCTTTCCTATGTGACCGGCTGAATGCGCGCGCAGCTCTTGCCGCGCGTGTGCATTCAGCCCAGGAGGAGGAACGGAGGAGGATCGGAGGAGGAGAGCTCCACGCCCAGCGCTGGAAAAAGGTAAGTTTAAACCCCTTTCCCCTTTCCAGAGCCGGGCGGGAGGGGGACCCTGAGGGTGGGGGCACCCTCAGGGCACTATAGTGCCAGGAAAACAAGTATGTTTTCCTGGTACTATGGTGGTCCTTTAAGTTAAAAACCATTTAAATATTATTTGATGCTCAAGCAGACTATTTAGAGATATGAAACCCACCCAGAAATAAAATCTAACAATGTCAGTTTATAAAGTCTAAAATGTACATATATAAATACTATCCTACTGAAGGAATGACATACTCCAGGTCCCTCCCAATAACTCCATGAAATTATGTAACAAAATGGAATAACTTCATCAAAAAAGTAACATGTACAATACAAAGGAGACTTAATATCACATACCTCCCAAGTGTCCTTATTTAATAGGGACGGTCCCTATTTTTGGCCCAAATCCCTCTGTCCCTCCTTTTCTATCCTAATGTTCCTGTTTTGTGGGAGCGCCATATTGTTGGTGTGTCTGAGTGTATAACAGAGCTCCGCATTGATAATACTCCAATTAATGTGTCTTTAAACTACAATAAATAGGTTTAGAAATCACTCTGTGTAAAGAAGATACATCGTTGTTGCTTTAAATTACATTTTAGTTGTATAAATTGCTCTTAGTAAGTCACCTAAAATTTCTTAAACCACAGACAGCCCCTGGCCCAACCCCACTCACAACACTAAAATTAGAGAGTCCCTCTTTGTCCATTTAGTATGTTGGGAAGTATGGAATCATAAGAATGTTGTGGAAGAGAAATCTCTAGGGACAATGTATCGCATAATAATGAATTGCATGCTGGGATGAAAGCAGGGGGGCATTGTGGGATCTGCACGTTTACACAGTTTTATCTGTGCAAGAGTTACTAAAGTTGACATTGTCATGCACACATTTTGAAAATGACTGAACCATTTAACCCCCCTCCTTTTCACACCTCTTAAAGTAAAGGTATATTATCTTACCTACAGCATCCCCTTTCTGTGAAATATTACCTTCCTGTAATCCCTTTTCTGTCAGGTCTCTGTTCTAGCCAAAATGATGTCATCACGTGTTGTTAATGGTTTTGGAAGCCAAGAGAAGGTTAGCAGACAATGTGAGGAAGTGCACAGCTTTGATTAGCTGGCCAGCAGATGGTGGTGTGGTTACATATCTAATATAGATGTATGTGTGTCTCCCCAAATGGAATCACAGACACGACAACCTGTCCAGTCTACCAGCAGGGACTCGAGTGCCTTTCCCATGTAAAAGCATCAAGTTTATTTAATCTGTGTCTAGTTGTCTAAAACTAAAAATTTAGCAGCCCACATGCTGGAGAGTCAGAGAGAGAAAGTATATTTTTTCGGACCAGTGTTCACATAATTCACACAAAAACCCTCCTTCTGAGGAAAACCAAGAATCTTGAAAATAAGAAAGTCTGACTCCTTCTGTACTTACTTTAGAAGTTGAAGAATCTTTTTCAGACTTTTTTTAAGAATACGTTTATGATGAGAACATATTTTTTTCAAATAGCCAAAAACATAGACCAATAAAATAATCTTGGCCAAACAAGGTAATCCTAGTTGTTGTCACGAACCAAATGACAAATGTCAGTGGAATGGCTCCCTATCTCCCATGTAGTGAAAGTTTTGGAAACCTGGCTGAGGAACGCTCATGATGAAATCCTGAGGAACAAATGGAGTGCAGACGAAGTATTTTGGCTCATAATGTAACTAAGCTCCAAAAGGAAATTCAGTCTCACAGTAGATGCCACATTCTTGATAGTTATGTGGACAGCAGTATCCTAAAGGGCTCATTGCACGTTGCTACATTAGTGTCAGGTCCAGGTATTGACGGACTCATTCCTTTATCAATGATTTGTAAAAAATATTAATGTTTTCTAATCAGGATCAGACTTCTCTGAAGAAAGTCTTTAAAGTGGCATTGTCACACCTCCCACAAAAGGAGTATTTCATAAAGAGAAAATGTTTATGAAATACTCATCCTGACTATGTTGGAATTTCACTGAAACCCCAACCCAGTCAGAAAAGATATATGGGGACGAAGTGGGGACTACTATGTCTCAGTATATTTCCTACGCCTGACACTTATAGACAGCTAACACCGCCTAGAAGTGTCAATCACCCAGCCGTCACCAGTGACATCTGCAGAGATCTTCGCTGTATCTATGGAGGATCCCGCGGCCTTTTGGGAATCTCCATAGACCTCAATATAGGACCCCCCCCTCAGACACCAGACCACCAGCAGTGATGTCCCAGGTGGGGATCTTTACAAATTATGCAAAGTCCCCAGAGAGCGGCAATGCCACTCTAACTAAAAAATTATTGAAAGGACCAAGGAAAGCAATTATGAATTTTTGAACAGACTCTCGAGGACAACAGTTTGTTAAACAGGGAAGGTGAAGCTGGACCATGTACCCCACATAATGTATTTTTAGAAGACTTGGAGAAGAGATAAATAGGGACCAAATGGTCTCTGGTTCACCAGACAAATACTTTTCAAAAAACAGTAAGGAGATAGATGTGACCATATAAGTTAATTTAGAAAGCAGATTGTTAATTGTTCTTCTCCTCACAAATTTACTAGCACTTAAAGGATCACAAACATGTATTCCTGACCCTGTAGTGTTAAAACCACAATCTATCCCCCCTGGGCCCCTCATGCCTCCCTAAATATAGCAAAATCTTACTGTATTCAAGCCTGAAGCTGTAACTCTGCATGCTGTTTGTCTCAGAAAAACAAGCAGTCTGCTGACATCATCAGAAGTGGTAAGATTGGCTGAGACTGACAAGGAGGCAGATCAGGGGCAGAGCCAGCATGATTCAAACACAGCCCTGCCAATCAGCATCTCCTCATAGAGATGAATTGAATCAATGGATCTCTATGAGGAAAGTTCAGTGTCTGCATGCAGAGGGAGGAGACACGGAATGCTTGGATGCATTTTAGGCAGCCATGAACCAGGAAGGATCTCTAACAGCCATCTGAGGAGTGGCCAGTGAAGCTATCACTAGGCTGTAATGTAAACATTGCATTTTCTCTGAAAAGACAGTGTTTACAGCAAAAAGCCTGAAGGTAATGATTCTACTCACCAGAACAAATCCAATAAGCTGTAGTTGTTCTGGTGACTATAGTGTCCCATTAATTAACTTGAGGAACTTCAGAAAACCAACAGTTAATAGAGGACATTGGGATGTTTCCAGTATTGTCAAAATAACAATTAAAAACTAGTAGGCAAATGATAAAATAGCTTATTGTAAGTTTTCAAAAAAACTAAACTACAAACCAAGAGTGATCTTTGCAGGCTCTTCATATGACTGACAAGAGATTAATCTTTGCAGATACGTTTTGTAAAGAAATGTTTTTTTTGGATCATGAAAAGGCTTTGAGATGTCAAATAAGATTACGACACAGAACAGATGCCAATCACAGTCGCCCCCAAGGAACCAACATCTAATATGTTTAGTTCAAAGAGAAAAGCACATGCACAGTTACAAAAATCTAGCCCTACACACCAGTATATTACACAAAACCCAACCCCAGAACTTGGATTATTTACTAAACTGTGAATTCGAGGGAGGCTGAAATATCTAAACAGGAAAATGATGGAGTGGGAATCAGAATTTCCAAACAATGAACTTATTGCTTCACCGAAGAAGCATACATTTTAATAGTTATCTAAAAAGATATATTTAATGGACACCAATTTTTCAATCATAAAATGTAATTTGCAAACAATTGCTTATAAATAAGTAAAGGGACAGTCTAACCACCATAACCACTTATGCCACCGTAAGAAGTCAAACCAGTTTTGTACAGTTTGACACTTCCCTGTGTCCCACGCGCACCCACCATCCCCCTAGTTGTTCCGGTCTTCTGTGATCTTGTTAAAGCAGAACTTCCCATTCCGCTCTAACAAACACAATTGTCTGTAATTTGGGATCCCATTCTAGATTGTACGTTTATTCAAGCAGGTTACCCATTAGCCTCTTGTTCCTGCTAACATTTGTAATAAGTACACAAAAGAGAGATTGGAGCAGCCCTAAACAACCGAACAACGGCAAAAATAAAGCCTTAAGGGGAGAAAAGTATTGTGGTTATTAAGCTGTTTTTGTTGTAATAAAGTATTTTTGGCTACTCCATTATTTTTTGTGAGCCATATACTTTTTAGCGTTTATTTTATATTTTGTTACCTGGCACCTGTATCTACTATTTTATACTCTTGTGGACTATCGCAAAAAGAATCCTAGATGGGGATTATACCACCCACGCCTGATACATAGAGCAGACTAACTGCTCTATCTAATGTAAGTATATTTCCATTATTTGCGTTTATACTTAACCTCAATAGAGAGCACTACTTGCCTTTTCTTTATAATTGCATATGTTCCACTCCACCACCACTCTACTGTGAAGTACTGCATGAAGAATATCCTGCAAGTGGGGATAAAATACAATTGCATGCTATTTTATGCAGAGCTGATTTAGCTCTATAAAATGTGAGTTGGCATTTCTTAAAGCGGCACTGTCATGGCCTGAATCGTTTTTTTTTTTTTTTAATCCCCCTCCCGACTCCACTACATCTAACCAACCCCTTAGTCACCCCCAAATGCCCCTAAGCCCCCCAGATTACCTATTTTAAAATCTTTATTTTCTGCCCCGATCTATATTCAGGGCGCCGCCATCTTTGTGTGCGTAGAGGAGGTCCTCGTGGGACACGTCATCTGCCCACACTAGATACCACTGAGATTCCTGCACATGCCCAGTTAAACACCTGGGCATACGAACAGGAATTTCATCTATTCTTTCATTTGTCAGAAAGCCGAATGAATGAATAGAAAAATCAGATGAACAAACTAACACTGAATATCAGTGTTCGTTTGTTCATTCAGTTTATTACAAGGAGGGAGCTACCAGCTCGCAGCTCCTTCCTTGTAATATGTAACGATAGAAGCGGCAGGGAGCAGTGCTCCCCACCACTTCATAAGCCCCCCAGGTCCCCCCCTCACTCTATGGGGGTCAATATGACCCCCATATTAGCATAAGGGAGATTAAAATCTCCCAAATGCCCCTACTCACTAGACCGCGAGTAGGGGCATGTCTACTAAACAGTGAGCAGCCTTTGGCTTATAAAGCCTTGCCCCACCCTGCAATTAGGCTAAGAACATGCTGATTGGCTGGGTTAAGACAATCAGAGTGCTCTTTGTCATTTTAAACAGCGTGGGAAAATTCCAAAGAACTTTCCCACGCTGTGTAAAATGACACAGAGCACTCTAATTGGGTGGCTTGAAATCCATCCAATCAAAGTGCTTTGTGTCATTTTACACAGCATGGGAAAGTTCTTTTGAATTTTCCCATGCTGTGTAATTTGACTCATAACACTCTGGTGGGCTTGGAATCTAACCAGAGTGCTCTTTGTCATTTTACACAGCGTGGGAAAATTCCAAAGAACTTTCCCACGCTGTGTAAAATGACACAAAGCACTCTGATTGGCTTAAACCAGCCAATCAGAGTGTTCTTAGCCTAGTTTCAGGGCGGGGAAAGGCTTTATAAGCCTTTCCCCGCCCTGCAGAGCTCAGTCTGTGTGGAGCCCTCCATGGGTGAAGATGGATTATTTTAGTAGGTCTGCCCCCCTCGTTATCTTTATGGCCCCCACCCACCGCTCAAGGGTGGGGGCCGGTGGGGGGGAGGACAGTAGGTACCCCTCATTGTAATTTATGGCCCCCACTACTAAGCAGCTGCAAGATGCAGCCGCGGCAATGAATAGGATCGGAGTTTCATTCATTCAAATTAAATTCCGATACGAACAAAGTGCCGAATTGAGTTCTAAAACAAACATACTGTTCTCATTGAGTTAGAACGCAATTCGGCAGTTTCGTGTAAAATGACCGGAAGCATCGCGAGATCACAGAGGAAAGGTAAGAATTATGGGAAAATTGCTCTGACCAGCGGAAATGAAGCACACTTTGCTCCTCCACTGGTCAAGCGGAGGAAACCTCCATAAGGCAAAGAGTCCCTACTTTGTCTTATGATGTTAAAGAAGACAGGAAGAAAAGAAGAACAGATCCTGAGAGAGGGGGAGAAGAGTAAGAGATTGAGGAAAGGTAAGTTCGGCATGACAGTACCGCTTTAAGACCTTTGTATCGTTTGTCACACATTTTTACTACAATACTTCATTATTGGTCTTTTCCCGTTTGTGTTTCTTTTCATATGCTGCTATTGATCCAAGTGGCTCCACAAGCATTTCATGAATTTTGGATGGAAGATTTTTTACTTTTAGATGGGGTCATATTATCAGGTAATTTTCTGGGATTTTTCCATTTTTGGACTGCTATAAAGACTATTTTTATTGTATTTTTATTCTTTGGTATTCTTCACTACCGGTTTCTCTGTTTTGCTTAACATTTGTAATAGTTTGTCTCTTATTTGTGGTTACATCCCCACAACTAACATTGTAAATTGCTCTGGAATATATAAGTGCTTTTATAAATTCTTATAATTAAAAATTTGCTGAGATTGTCGAGAGGCAGTGTGCGTCTTGTATTACATGGGTTCTCAGAGAACATTTAACAATGCTGAATGTGGGAGGCAGTCTGACAGAGCAAAGAATCTCAGAGGGTAGACATGGGAAAGAGAAGGGAAAAAATAAAGGAAAAGATGGATGCAGGTCCAGGGCAAAACAAAAATGACGCGTGGGAGAGCATTTGGGGAGAAGGGCAGAGATTTCCGCCGCATGGTGTTGGTCAGACACATAAAGGGTTATTCAGTAAAGTGAATTTTAGATTGAAGGTCACAAGGAGCTAAACTAGTAGCATAGCTTAGAGAAATGTCCCAGCTTGGCTACACTGGCCTTAAATTGGAAATCCACTATTAATTCTCACTTTAGTAAATAACTCTGTTCATTTTTTGGATGAAATGGACAGGAAGCCAATACAGACTCAATGATCGAGAATTAAGGTAAAATAGTTCAGAAGGTGAAGGCAGTAGCAGTCCTACGTTAGCCCCAAGGAATAGTGGAATTACAGGTTGAGAACATTTTACAAACTGTAAGAGGGATTGTAAATTGACCGATGTTTAGCCACCATCAACACAGACAGACTAATAGGATATAGTAACAGACTATAACTGTTTCTTTATGGATAGATTTTCAATATGGCTTATGAATGTACATGTGAATTAGCACACACGTTTTAATATTGCTTTCATGACGTCAAGTGGAATGTAATCTAAAACTTACTATTTTAAAGAATTAGAGGGATATTAGCTTAACAGACAAAAGTTTAATTGTAGCAATTTTAAAACACAAAGTGGCAGAGAGAAGACCTGATACATCTCACGGTGGGCAGACAGGAGAGAGGTAAACATGGCAGAATACACAAACAACATCGAATCTCCAGAGTCTGTCCAAACATCGTATCCTGAACTGTAACCGGTATGTCATTGGATGCAAATAAGAAATAGCCATTTAATCAGCATAAACAAATTTACTATAGCAATAAAATACCTTTATTCTCTTACGGACATAAAGTATCAATCTTACCTCCGATGTTCTGAATTAAGATTGTGCACGCCACAAGAATCTAAGCATAAAATAAAAACATAATAAAGTAAATGCTGACACCAAGTGAAATTAGTTTATTTGTTTTTGTGTATCTATTTTGTAATTAAATGCATGTTTACATAGCACAAAAATAATTTTGGGTGATACGAGGTTTTTAATTAACTATCGGTTTGCAGCTAAAAGTCATAATTTAATATTTTTCTACAAATTCTACCCATATCGGCACCCAATAATTCTGCAGGTTTGATCTGGACTGGGCACCTAGTCCCTGGGCAGACTCTAAACTGTATCCTTAAAGGAACACTACAGCGTTAGGGATACAAACGTGAATTCCTAATGCGATGGTGTCCCTATGCACAGATGAGTGTTAAAATTATTTTTCTCAAAATCTGTTTTGACACTCTAGCTATGGGCATGCGCCATCTAAAATTAATAATGCAGGGTTATTTAGTAAAGTGAGAAGTGCCACAAAAACAAATCGAATTTAAAGCCAAAAGAGACGATGAAGTGGTTTGGGTGACATGTCCCGCCCATTATCACACATGGCAAACTAAAAACATGCACAGAAAATCACAAAAAAGAGACTTTTTTACCTTTCCAATTGATCCAAATGCAGACATACCAAGGTCCTCATACGATGTAACAGCTGGAAACAGACAAGGACACAAGCACTATTTAAATCACTGATATCACACTTATATTCAGAAGGTTGGTTGGGTCACTTTAAAAAATGTTGTAAGTGTTTTACAATTGAACGCAAACACTTTAGTGATTGAGAGAGGGTTGAATAGAAGAGGATTAAGACATCAGTAAGCAGCTGACGAAGATCGATAGAGAGAGCCACAAACATCCCATTATCCATCTAGCACTGCAAATTTTGAATTTATATAATTTTGATATGGCTGTATTAAGCAGTTACTTCAACCACCACAACTACTTATTATTTATGTATGTACGTACAGTGTTTTGGCTTGAAACACTGCACAAAAGAGTTACTGGCACTTGTGCGCTGTGGCAGGTTACAACCCGGCACATGTAAATTAGACAGCATAGAACCCCGTTCCAGCGGCCTAATGTCAATTCTGTGCATATTTAACACAGAGCGAAAACATCTGCTTCTTCCTTGAAGGCAGAGTCTGCAAGGGAAAGCTTGTGTCTGTCCTCCCTCCTTGTCTGCAGCCCTCCCCGTCTCCCTATCCCATTCAGTAATTGTTCTCTTCCTCTCCTTTCCCCCTCCTCCTGCCAGCTCAGGGTGCAGGCAGGCACACTAAGCAGTTAAATGGTCTAATCAAAGGCCTTTCTATTGAACCTCCACATGACGACGTCTGACTTACGCATGCCGATTAGTGCTTGCTTATGTTAAAAAAAACAAAACAAAAAAAAAAATCAAACAATTTGCAAGAAACCAGTTTGACGCCATACATATTGTGGAAAGTTAGGAACCTGAACACACCTGGCACCATAATGCAGTGGGTATGGTGCGTTCCTGTAAAGTACACACCAGCCCTTATTCTTAAAAATTTTACTAGGAAACTGGTTTACAATTGGATAAAAGGCCCTCCCACTATATATAACAATCATTACCGGCTAGCTAACGCAGGCATTCTACCGACATCCTTTCTATAATATGTGCCTTGCTCAGACCTCTAGATTTACAGTGTCCGACCTTAGACCCAACTGTTGCTGCACTGCTGGCCACACAATTCTCCATCGTCTAACTGGCTCCAAGGCATTCTACCAAAGACTGATCATATCTACAATATACTGCAGGGGTCTGATATATAGAGCCTTACAGTATCCTATTAAGCATTTACACTTGTATTGTTTTATCCTTTAAGATAGTCAGGACCCGGGCTCTATATAAACAGCCACAGCTACGGCAGGATGAAATAATAAGGAAACCTGATGGGTAAATACTGCATGTTTGCTAAATTTTACTTTTATAGTACAAAGTATCCCAAGCACACCAGAAAGAATTATTTGCATATAAAGTATGTTATTCATATAGTGGATTTACATACACTGTACAGGTATATAAGTAGTAACCAGCTAACAAATCACCACTATACATGCATAATAAAGTGCTAAAGAAAAAAAACCAATGAACCTATAATAAACCAGGTATACTAAACCAAAGAGCAGGAGAACACAGAACTCCGACGTTTCGGCAACCAAGTCCCACATCCAGGACCAGCACAGGCTCACTGCCTGCACTGACTCCATGAATCCGAGACTGGGACATATTTCTATCTATAGGTATTTTTTATTTTTATTTGTTATTCTTTTTTTTTATTTATTTATATTTATTATTTATTTTTTATTTTTTTTCATTTTTAATTCATTTATTTAATTTATTATTTCGTTAGTTTTTATTTTAGGTTCCCTTTTATCTTCTGGTATGTATGGGGCCCCATATATGTGTGTTCATTTATTATTAGTATTGATATATTACCGGTGTATTTAATCCAAGTACAATTTATGGATCTCATTGACAACACTGTGGACAAGGTTATTATAAGGATTGAGTTAATATACCCCTTATATCTATGTGATTCATTATTTTATGTTAAAGATCTATATATATTGTTAGCAGATGATATTATTTCATTTGTGTTTTATATATTTTGATTTTGTTTTATTATTATATGGATATAGGCAATCGGTCACAAAGAACCGATTTGTGGTATTTAAGCCATTGTACAGCACTACGGAACTTTGTTGGCGCTATATAAATAAAATAATAAAGAAATAATAATAGTAGTGTACACTAGGGAGTTTGATTCCAAGTGCCTGTAGAGTTTGGGTTTTGAGCAACTAGTTTTTTGGTCCCACGGCGCTACCATACAGTGTATGATAGGATCTCATTCATTGTCTGTGTCCCAAGTCACGTGGACGCAGCAGCATCATGCGATACGCGGAAGTAACTGAGTTTAGCACCCTACGATACACTCCTTTGTGTGCGTTTACGTCACGTGACACTATGAGGGCGATGACGTCAGATGTACTCGGAAGACGGTAATGTCGGTTTATCCCGCAATTATGTCGTTATTCCCTACACTTGTTCTCAATTGGGACCATACTTTTATATTAATAAGAACTAAAACCATTAGGATAGATATTCCCCTAAGGAAGGCTTGGTTGCCAAAACGTCAGGGTTCTGTGTTCTCATGCTCTTTGGGTTAGTATACCTAATTTATTATGGGTTTATGTTTGTTTTCTTTAGCACTTTATTATGCACGTATAGTGGTGATTTGTTAGCTGGTTACTACTTATATACCAGTACTGTTATCAGCACTTTTCCTGTACATTGTATGTAAATGCACTATATGAATAAAATATGTTTTATATGCAAATAATTCTTTCTGGTGTGTTTGGGATTCTATGTACTATGACTATGGTTCTGGTTGGGGATCAGATCTTCCATGGAAGCACCCGGCTTTTCTTCCTTTTACTATTACCCATATTTGACAGTTTGAGCGCCTACTATAATTTCTTTGTACAAAAAAACCCCCCTTACTTTTATAACAGATAAATAAAATGAAATATAACGAAACGAACTGCAGAAAAGATTAGAAGGGCTGCCTGCTGCGAATTTTACAGATTGTTGGGTATATCAATTGGAAACATTTTGTGAACCTCTCATGCAACTTACCAGACTGAATGCACATACGCAGCAGTAAATGGATGGAATACGCGGCCAGTAAGGCAACAATCAACAGCAGGATGCTAAAAAAATAAATAAATAAAATGAGTGTTTTATTAGAAAATGCCGAGTTCAGACTGGATCTTACTGGAGGAAGCAAAGATCACGTGCCAGTGTCACAGTATTTCGTTGTCAGCATTACTCAGAAGCTGACAATCACCTAGGCGGGGGAAGGGACATATTTTTGGTTCTTGGTTTGTGAGCTCATGTGATAATCTGTCAGCAAATACAAAAACCACAAAAGGTTTCAATTATGTCGACAGTTCCCCTTCTTCAAACCCACAAACGAAGCAGCTAAGATTGTCACTGCAGTATATTCACACCTGGAACACACGGGGTTAATGTAACTGGGATGTTGAAGAATTGACAGGCAAACATTTCCTGATTAAGTGAATATCAATGGGGGTTTATTCACTAGATTCCAAAATGGAGTACATTAAACTCTACAATGTTTAGACTGAAACAGCAGATCAGGAAAAATGATCAAACTCTGCTGTAGTTTGTAGAATTTTAGTGTTCTTTTTGTTTTTGTTTTTTAATTTTTATTGTGCGGCAGAGGAACAAACAGACTCGCACTGCCCCGACAGCAGTGGCAAGAGGATAGGCATACAACATACATACAGGTCAACAGCAAAGGGCAGTTGATAATACAGCACAATTATTTTTGTGTTAGTGATTTTTGTTTTCCCCATTTGAATTCACTACAGTCAGAGTTTACTAAATAAACCCCATGGTCCCCCCATTTGGGGGGAGGGGAGCATTTTTTCTATAATATGTCCTATTTGGCACCCTCTGTTTGCAGTATAACTTGCACAGAAAGATATTTTTCTTACCTGGAATCCAACGCCAGGAGATGTTCCCAGCACTAACTTCCATGCCCCCTTCTATATCACAGGGGCTGTGTGCAGGCCAATCACAAGCTTCATATAAAAAAAAGACTGTGATTGGACCGATTCGCCAGCTCAGAGCACCTGCATGCCCCCAGCACCCAATTACAAAATAAATCAGTATGTGCAATGTTTTAAGGTGAAACACTGCTCATAAGTACTGCTACCACCATGACCACTTCTAAATACTCAATGTTTAATGCTATCTGGCAAAGAAATGAATGCAGTGATGGTTACCCTAGCGATTTCCCTATTTTATACAGCGTGCATATTGGGAAATATAGTCCTGAAAAGTTTGCCATCACTTAATGTGACAATACCATAATACAATCACCTAGGTATGTGCATTTCATGTATTACAGGATGTACCTACCTAAAGCCAATGACGCCAGTACTGGCCATTGCATAAGATAACCCTAAGATGCCGCTTCCCATGATAGCATTCATCAGATTGAACACAGACAGCCCAAAAGATGCTCCGGAAGTTCTCTGTCTCTGCAAGGTGGGAGGTACACAGAAATAATATGCATGTTACTATTATAAAAGAGATAACGGGTCCCATGCTGTTGGTACAGTGCAGATTCTCTCTTATACAGTCTGTTGTGATTTTAAACGAGGCATTCTACTCTGTATGGATTATTAGCACAGAAAATATATAACCCATTAAAACAAGCCTTTCCAATAAAATAGTGGCACTAAGTTGTGAATTAATATCACAGATAGCTATAACTGAATACGAATTTTAGAAGGCTTTAGAACAGATAAAAAAACTGTACAATGCGATGACAGCATGAAAAATCATTGGCCCTAACATGTGATTATAGACAGCAGCCTAGCATGTGAAAGCTGAGCAACAGGAATATATTCTTATTCTCTGATTGAAAGGAAGTTACCTTGGTTTTCTTTAGCTAAAAGACCTCTTAACACTTGAAGGAACAAATGTGAAATCATTTCGTTATAAACCGCCTTTAAAGAGGCTCTAAAACTGGAACCACTCATTTAACAGCGAAAGGGCTACTTGTAAATAAACAAACATTCCAAACTCAACTTACTCACAAACAGAATTTTGCGCCCATTAAAACATCAATATCTAAGCCATGCAACGTACACAGTGCTATTAGAATGGTAAATGTGTAGCAGGGACAGTTAGAAATACGAAGAAACACTGTAGTTATGTAGTTACACAGCCAATGTTTGTTTTTTCCATGACAGACTGTTCTAGGATGGACTAACCAAGCCTACACTATTTTTTTTTTTAAGTTGTGATCTGGTTACAGTTACTGTACAATCAGCCTATCCACAATTAAACTCACTGGCAGTACAGGAATGCCTGCATTCATTGAGTGTTTCTGACACAGTTACTGCCACAGATTAGAATGCAATGACAAAGTGAAGTAAACAATGTCTGGGCGAGCTGAGCATATAATTAAAAACAAGTGTTTCCAATAAGGAGAGAGCAGTGAAATCCACCATTCCTGTCTTAATGTAAAATACTCCAATCAGTGTAAAGGAATAACATTTTATATACAATATATATATATATATATATATACACACACATATATACACACACACACAAAATATATACACACACACACACACACACACACACATATATACAATAAATATAAACACATTTTAAACACAATACACAGCTTTGTAGATGTAAATATTTAAACCCAATGTGTAGATTAAGGAATATAATGATTGCAAGTAGCAATCTGACAGTATCTGTACCAGGCAGATTATTTGAAATAAAAATAGTATATAATTAACCCTTCCTACTCACATTCCCAAGGAGGGGAGCAGATTCCTCCTGCTCAGCAGACAGACAGGGTCCATATTCAGTATTAATGCTGCTCCCACCAGCCAACATTGTAAATCCAAGACCACCCCCCCCTCCCAGGCACTGGGCCCTGGGCCCTGGGTCACTCAGGCACTGGACCCTGGGTCACTCAGACACCTGGGTCACTCAGACACTGGACCCTGGGTCACTCAGACACCTGGGTCACTCAGGCACTGGACACCTGGGTCACTCAGGCAGGACACCTGGGTCACTCAGGCACTGGACCCTGGGTCACTCAGACACCTGGGTCACTCAGGCACTGGACCCTGGGTCACTCAGACACCTGGGTCACTCAGGCACTGGACCCTGGGTCACTCAGACACCTGGGTCACTCAGGCACTGGACCCTGGGTCACTCAGACACCTGGGTCACTCAGAAACTGGAACCTGGGTCACTCAGACACTGGACCCTGGACTCCCAGCTCCATCTAATCACCAGCCTAAAACTCCAGCTGCTTCACTTCCTGGGCCTCACAGTCTGCATGTGACCTGCACACCGGCGCCGCGAGATGACGTCAGCAGCGCCTTCCATGCCCTCAGTCGGTGGCTGATGACGCAGTTCACTCTCCAAGCATGGTGGATCTGATAGCATGAGGTGAGGTGAGTGAGTGAGTGTAAGTGGAGATTTACCGGAGTAAGCCAGCACTGAGCACATTGACATCACAGGACAGCATGCAGAGCCATCTTATTAACCAGCATGTGGGGTTCAGGGGGGCACAGGGATTATTATAACATGGGAGGGAGGGAGGCATAGAGGACAACATGCAGAGCCATTTTATTAACCAGCATGTGGGGGTCTTAGGGGCACAGGGATTATTATAACATGGGGAGGGTATAGAGGGCAAATATGCAGAGCCATTTTATTAACCAGCATGTGTCTAGGGGGCACAGGGATTATTATAACATGGGGAGGGGGGGGGCAGTTAGAGGACAACATGCAGAGCCATTTTATTAACCAGCATGTGGGGTTCAGGGGGGCACAGGGATTATTATAACATGGGGGGGAGGGGGGCATAGAGGACAACATGCAGAGCCATTTTATTAACCAGCATGTGGGGTTCAGGGGGGCACAGGGATTATTATAACATGGGGGGAGGGGGGGCATAGAGGGCAACATGCAGAGCCATTTTATTAACCAGCATGTGGGGTTCAGGGGGGCACAGGGATTATTATAACATGGGGGGAGGGAGGTATAGAGGACAACATGCAGAGCCATCTTATTAACCAGCATGTGGGGTTCAGAGGGGCACAGGGATTATTATAACATGGGGGGAGAGGGGGCATAGAGGACAACATGCAGAGCCATCTTATTAACCAGCATGTGGGGTTTAGAGGGGCACAGGGATTATTATAACATGGGGGGGAGGGAGGCATAGAGGACAACATGCAGAGCCATCTTATTAACCAGCATGTGGGGTTCAGGGGGGCACAGGGATTATAACATGGGGAGGGAGGCATAGGTGACAACATGCAGAGCCATCTCTCATTAACCAGCATGTGGGTCCAGGGGGCACAGGATTATTATAACATGGGGAGGATCAAGATAGAGGACAACATGCAGAGCCATTTTATTAACCTGGGCATGGGTCCAGGGGCACAGGGACTATTACATATAACATGGGGAGGGAGGGCATAGAGGACAACATGCAGAGCCATTTTAATAACCAGCATGTGTCCAGGGGGCACAGGGATTATTATAACATGGGGGAGTGAGGGTGATGAGGACAACATGCAGAGCCATTTTATTAACCAGCATGTGGGGTTCAGGGGCACAGGGATTATTATAACATGGGGAGGGAGGTATAGAGGACAACATGCAGAGCCATTTTATTAACCAGCATGTGGGTTCAGGGATTATTATAACATGGGGAGGGGGGCATAGAGGACAACATGCAGAGCCATTTTATTAACCAGCATGTGGGGTTCAGGGGGCACAAGGATTATTATAACATGGGAGGGAGGGTATAGAGGGCAACATGCAGAGCCATTTTATTAGCCAGCATGTGGGGTTCAGAGGGGCACAGGGATTATAACATGGGAGGGAGGGAGGCATAGAGGACAACATGCAGAGCCATTTTATTAACCAGCATGTGGGGTTCAGGGGGGCACAGGGATTATTATAACATGGGGGGGAGGGGGGCATAGAGGACAACATGCAGAGCCATTTTATTAACCAGCATGTGGGGTTCAGGGGGGCACAGGGATTATTATAACATGGGGGAAGGGAGGGCATAGAGGGCAACATGCAGAGCCATTTTATTAACCAGCATGTGGGGTTCAGGGGGGCACAGGGATTATTAGAACATGGGGGACGACGACATAGAGGACAACATGCAGAGCCATTTTATTAACCAGAATGTTGGGTTCAGAGGGCACAGGGATTATTATAACATGAGAGGGAGGGCATAGAGGACAACAATGACCTGTTACTGGGGGGGTTGTAATACATTGCAATAATTAGCATGAACATGTTGTGTTTGTGTCTTATTGTTAAACTGGTTACATATCAACTATACATACTGATGGGCAAGGCTTGAAAAATGGGAGGTGATCATGTAGCATATGAATGCTGCATACAGCAGGGCAGCAGTTGATATGATGTTATATGGGTCTATGGAAATGTGGTAAAACATGTATTTAATCTGCTTGTGTCCCCCTTTTTATCATGTCAGGATACACGTTAAAAAAATATATATATAAATTGGGAATCGTCAGTTGTCCTTACCAACTCAACCAGGAAGACCGCACTGCTTGAGAATGTTTTTGCAATGCAATCCTTTTAATGGACATTCTCTAAATCAGGGGTAAGCAACTTTCAGCACTCCAGGTGTTGTGGACTACATCTCCCCTGATGCTTTGCAGCATTATGGCTGTAAAATTATTATGTGATATGTTGTCTGCAAAATCTGTTGTGCCGAAGATTCCCTACTTCTGCACTAAATCTTTAGCAAATCCGCTCACGGCAAATCATGACCACCTCTTGTGATTGTGTGGTGCTGTGACACCACATTAATTTATTGTATACATTTTATGAAATTTTGTGTATAATGGTATTAAATTATTCTGTTGCCTATGTTGCAGGTTTGTAAAACAAGTTTGTTATTTAGTAAATCTTCTTCATGACTGTGGTACCCACAAATTGAATAAGCTCTTTAAGCCATGCCACCAGTGGTCTACTGACAAGATTACTCTGAGATTGTTCCTTCAGCGAGGCAGTCTCTCCACCATGGCAGAAATGCAAGATTGTCAACATGACGCAGGTCTTTACTCCCCGAATCCAAGCGTGAGTGGGATGACTTGTCTAGACCGAGACGCCTTCAATAAAACTATAACTGTTCCTGTGATTCGAGTAAAGAAAGAGATCATAAATCAGGTGATGAAAGCCCTGAAACACAGACTTGTACAAAGACCCCATCTAAAGAGAGTGATTGAGGATCCCAAAGATGAAATAAACAAACTGGTCCTGTTGGACCCATTTAAAGTAACCTCCGATGAGTCATTTGAGGAGTGTGACCATTTACTCTTTAAGAAATTTGGAGTCAGCCCTCAGATTACCAAATATGAGCTACAGCTCACTTATGAAAATTTTAAAGGCGATGAAATCTTGCGGGCAGTCTTACCAAAAGGCCAAGATGTCACATCCGGTTTTAGTCGAGTTGGACATATTGCTCACATGAACCTGCGGGAACACCAGCTTCCATACAAGAATTTGATTGGTATGTAATTGAACAAATTTCAACTTTACTTTTGTTTTTGTGTGTTAGCCACAATATACAATTCACTAAACTGTAAACTGAATTTCAGATTTTATACCACTATAACAGAACTGAAAAAAAGGCACAACTATGTTTTTGGTTTAACTTTTTTTTTTTTTAACTTAATACAGAGGTGGGCTTGACAGGTGTTCCGTGCATCTATCTGGTCTTGCTGTGAAGTACACATTAAAATAAATGGGTTCTAATAAAATGTATGTGTGTAGAAGGGTTATTTAATGATGAAAAGTGTATTTTTCATTAAATAAAAATAAATAGAATCTTATACCATTAGCCATTAGATTGAATATCTTTGTTACAAAAAGTTCTAAGGTCCAGATCCATAACCAGATTTATTTATTTTTTTCTTTCAGGCCAAGTCATCCTGGACAAAAATCCAGGTATCACCTCCGTCGTGAATAAGATCAACACCATCGACTCGACATATAGAAATTTTCAAATGGAGGTTTTAGCTGGTGAGGAAAACATGATCACTAAGGTTAGTTTCTGCTCGAGAAGATAAGTGAGCAAATCATTGGGTCCACTGTGTATTACTGTATTAACTCTCCCAAATATTAACGAATGTCAACATCTGTGTCTGGAGTTCTGAGTGTATCTCGCAAGGTGTTGGGCGCTAGTAGTACTTCCCGTCACAATTGCCGTTGGGCACTGGACTTGGATCTTTTAGTGGAGCTTAGCTTGTCAAAGCATCATGGGAGATGTAGTCTTGGAATTTGCAGATTTATTCTTATTGCTCTATTTTTTTGAGACTTTTATATTACATTTTTGTTGTTGTTACTAGTATTTAAAAGCTTTTAGTTAATGTGTATATTTTACAGATGTTCTTAATATAATTTTTATTTTAAAAATTTTTATTTGCATATTATTCAGGTTACAACAGATGCACAGTATAGGTACAGTATATCACCCAACAATAAAAGATACACAATGGTACATGTAGTATCACTGCCTCGTCTGTGCAATACATAGATATTCATATAAAATATAACAAACTTCTAGCAAAAAACATCTAACTGTCCCGAGGTCACTCTTCACAAGGACTTTAGCTTAAGACTTCTTAGAAACAGTCAATTGTCCCCATGACTGTAACTAGTACGATCCGGCTATTTCACGTATTGGGTGTTGGAAAGTGATATATACATAATTTTTTAAAAAATTTTTTTGCTTTTCTGATCTGCCATGCCAAAGTTATAGTTATGGTGTCGGTTGAGTGAGACACTTGGGAGAATTCAAATAGATATTAGGGTGTCCATGGAATTATGTGATCGGACGTCTGGATGTGGATTGTGGTGCTTGTCTGTCCGACATTTCAATATGGAGTCTCTTGGGCCCCATCTACCAAGGTTGGGGGCTGTATTAGGTTGGACATCAATCTTTATTAGGTTGCATACCAATCTTCAACCCAAACATCGGGTAAGTCCAGAGAGAGGAATGGTGATACATCATGTATAGTGGAAATCGTAAATGTAGTGCCCTGTCTTACTACTATAAGTGCCAGGGGTATGCCCCATTGGTACCTGATGTTCCGGCATCTGAGCAGGTCGGTGATCATCCTCGGGAGCCTTCGTGCCTGGAGAGTCACCCATGATAGATCCAGAAAGATTTGGATTGGAACTTAATGGAATAATAGCGGTTGAGATGTATTCCTCAGGGTACGGAGCAGATCCTTCTTGCAGGAATAATAGTGCAGTCCGCAGATAACATCCGTCTGTGTACCCGCCTTAGATCCTCTGGAGCGGAGGGAGCAATGTGCTTGGTCTATGATCACTGGGTTATCCGCTGGCTTGGCAAGGATGAGGTTGAAAAGCTCCTGGCGCAGCCGATGGAGCTCTTCCTGATCTTGTGCAGGTAGGCCTTTGATCCGCAAATTGTTGCGGCGCCCTCGATTGTCGAGATCATCTAGTGATCTTTGGTAGGCAGCCATAGCTGAGGTATTGGCTTCAACCATTGATTGCAGGTGTTGCATTTGGGAGAAGAGCAGGTCCCTGTCTTCTTCAAGGGAGCTCACTCGCTCACCCACCTGGCGTATGTCAGTTCCCAGGGCCTCTGAAAAGAGCTTTCAAGTTTGTGTAGCATACTTTCCATGTCTCTCTTCGTCTGGAAGTTTGCAAATATTTCCCGGAGGCATGGGTCAAGTTGTGAGTGATAGGTGTCTGATTCCGCCGGGCTTGACGGCAGAGAGCTGTCGCCCTGTGAAGTGAGCGCCATCTTGGGATCATCCTGGTCGACAGTCCTATCTGCCGTGTCTCTGAAAAACCTTGTTAAAAAGCTAGATTTTGCTGTCTGCGTTTTCCCTGAGCATTGGGTTTTTTGGGGTTACCCGTGATAGTGGATGTGCCCGGGTTGTGTTGGATTCAGCCGTTGGAGTTGAGGAGCTCAGCGAGGTACGTCCATTCGGATCAGCAGTTAGCCACGCCCCCCTTAAAATATTTTTTACGGTGGGGTTGTTCCAGAGCAAAGAAGATTAAACATCCTGATTTTACAGGTTAAAGCAGGGGTCCTCAAATGGTGGCACTTCAGCTGTTGCTGAACTACAACTCCCTTGATTCTTTGAATTACATAGATAAGCCAGAGAATCATGGGAGTTGTAGTTCAGCAACATCTGGGGGGCCAGAGTTTGAGGACCCCTGGGTTAAAGGGACATTAGTCACCAGAACAACTACAGCTTAATGTATTTGTTACCAAGTATAGTCTGTCATTGCAGGCTTTTTGCAGTAAACACTGGTTCTCCCCACCCCCCCTCCCAGAGAAAAGGCAGTATTTACAGCCTAGGGGCACCCCATTGAACACTCTTTAGATGGCTACTAGAGTTGCTTCCTGGGGCAGTGCTGCACAGTGTAACTGACTTTGTGTCTCCACCCTCTGCATGCAGACACTGAACTTTCCTCGTAGAGATGCATTGATTCAATGCATCTCTATGAAGAGATGCTGATTGGACAGGGTGGTATTTGGCTCCACCTCTGCACCACCTCCTTGGCATTCTCACCCAATACAATGCTTTCCTATGGGGAAGCATTGCGATTGGCTGAGATCTCTTCTGATGATGTCAGCCAAGGAGACAGATCAGGGGCAGAGCCAGCACCAGCAGCCTGAATTGAAATTAAGATTTTTACAATATTTAGGGGGACAGAGGGGCTCATAAGTGTTTTTAACACTATAGGTTCAGGAATACATGTTTGAGTTCCTGACCCTATAGTGTTCTTTTAAGGCAAGAAAGGTTTGGGGGGTTTCTGTTGTGTGGTTTTTTTTTGTTTGTTTTTTTTTTTTTTTTTTATTAAAACCAAATGCTATGTTTTCATTTTTAGGTTAAAGAAAATTACATCACATATGAATTTGATTTTTCCAAAGTATACTGGAATCCACGCCTCTCCACGGAGCATGAACGCATCATTCATGTCTTAAAGCCAGGGGATGTTCTTTTTGATGTTTTTGCAGGAGTAGGACCATTTGCCATTCCCACGGCCAAAAAGAATTGCATTGTTTACGCCAATGACTTGAATCCTGAATCTTACAAATGGCTATTGCACAACTGCAAACTGAACAAAGTAGACAAAAAGGTTTTTGCATCCAATGTCGATGGACGCGACTTTATCAAAACAATAGTAAAGACGGAGCTACTTAAGTATATAAAGCTATTTTCTAATGAACAAAAGAATAAGATCCACATAGTTATGAACTTACCAGCGATGGCGATTGAGTTCCTTGATGCTTTTATAAATCTCTGTGAAGAAGAGCCTTGTAGTGACGCTGTTTTGCCAACTGTGCACTGCTACAGCTTTTCAAAAGATGACAATCCGAAAAGAGACGTTAAAGAGAAGGCAGAGTCTATTTTGGGGGCGCAGTTAGATGATTGCTCTGTGCATCTGGTGAGGAATGTGGCCCCTAACAAAGATATGATGTGTATAAGTTTCCAGGTTCCTGCCAAGGTACTTTATAAAACACGGGCCGACACTGCTGGTAAGCTCCTGAAATTGGATGTTAAAACTTGTCTGTATTATGGAGTTTGTGTGTACAAAATAACTTGTCTTGGTCTAAAAAATTCAACATTTTTTAATAGGACCCAACTGGGGTTTTATTTGTAATTTGTTTCTACAATCTGCAACAAAAAAAACATTGTCAGGAGTTCAAAGTAAATTTAAAATTTAAGACCTTAAAGGGATACTATAGTGCTAGGAATACAAAGCTGTATTCCTGGCACTATCGATGCCCCCCCTCCCCTATTAATAAAGGGTTATAAACCCTTTATTTACTTACCTAGTTGCGGCTCCTTCTCTTCCGACGTCCCGTGACGGGCAGGCTCTAATCTAATTTAATTACTGCTTTCTTCCTATATGTAAAATCTGCCGCTGGATGTCCTCATACAGAGCGTGAGGTTGTCCAGCGTCAGATACTGGACCAAAAGTCTGCTTTGATCCAGGAAGCGTCCCCAGTAGCTATCTGGTAGACAGCCACTGAGGGCAGACTTGGAGCTGCAATGTAAACATTGCAGTTTCTCTGGAACTTAAATGTTTTACATTGTAGCACTAAATGCAATAGGGACACTGCACCCAGATTACTTCAATCAGCTGAAGTTGCCTACGGTGTCCCTTTAATAGCAGAATTGGCCAAATTATCCCAGTCAGCTCTACTTCCTGTTTGGCTATTTCGGTCTAACATTTGAAATACATTTTTAAATCCTGATTATCACTTTAGTAAATAACTAATAGCATTAAAGTTCCTGCTGCCTGGCTTTTGACAATGTATAACTCCTATCATACCAAGTCATAATCTGGCTTAGGCTAGTTAATATACAATTTATGTGATGTATAACTCCAGTCAATCTTTGCTTATGGTTGGCTGAAGCAGATAAGAATCTTAGTCCACAAAAGCTTTAGACATTCATAAATGGTTTGTGATCTCAGAGCTAAAGTTTCCATGAAAATCTGTTTTTTATTGGAAGTAAACATCAAAATATATGTAATCGGTTTAAATAACAGTGGTCAGGGCACTCAAATCTGGGTCGCCAACCTCCTAAATCTTGTGGCCTCTGCAAAGAAGTATAGTCCCACAGCAAATCTCACAGGCTTCCCCTACAGCTATGAAGTAAATGTGAAATTGGAAAACCCATGGAAAAAAGTTTTGTAGTAAAAACATAGATTTTCCATCTATGTGGCTACAGTTACCATGTCAACAAGGGGTAGACTGGTAACACTTTGACATCTAACACTTTTACTAATTATTATTTTTCCAGACGTGTGTATTTATAGTGGAAATATATATTCTGTCATTTGACATTAATTTGATGTGACTTCATTTTGTTTCCAGATGAACCAACAGCTAAACGTTCACGAACAGAAGAAGAGAGCGCCACAGAAAATTAATCCAGGGATCAAGACTTTTTCATTCTGTAAATTTTGTTTTATATTGGGACAGGCGCCCAACTGATGGGACTTTTTATTTTATTTTTATTTTAATAAAAAGATATTGCTAAGAAATTGCATGCAGGTTGTTGAGTTTCTTGATTAAAAATATCAACACATGTTTTAAATCCGAGTCTCAGTTTGTGGTGAGTGTTTAATGACCGATATTAGATTATTATTTTTTTGTATGATGCAGTTGCTGTTACTAGCTGTGAACTAAACTTTGTCAGTTGAAGCAAATTATAGATTTCTTTTTTTTTATGATGTTATGCTCTAGTTCAGGGATAGGCAACCTTTGGCACTGCAGATGTTGTGGACTATGTCCCCCTAATGCTCTTGCACACATATTGCTGGCAAAGAATCATGGGAGGTGTAGTCCAAAACATCGTGCCAATGGTTGCCTATGCCTGCTCTAGTTTATCCCAATCCAGTTCAAGCCACACAACGGTTCAGGTTTCGTTACTATCCTCATTGTAACAGAATTGGGCTAAGCCTAAATCTGAACTGTGCTTTGATGACTGGTTTGGGAGGCACTGCATTAGTTTATCACATGAGATTACTTGTAGCATTGATTGCTATTGTTCCACATCTGCTACTATTAAAGGAACACTAAGCACCATGGAGCATGCCCTGGTACCCTCTCACCCCATTGTAAGTAATTAAAGGAACTCTATAGGGTCAGGAACACAAACATTTATTCCTGACCCCATAGTGTTAAAATTTCACTTTTGAGAAAGCTTCAGCGAAACGCGTCAAGTGAGGAAGAATTTTGGACTTTTAAACAGGACTGGTTTTATAGTTTATTATTCACTTTTTACTTATTGTATTAAAGTATATATATTTTTTAAACTATCCAGTCATTCCTTTTGTCCTCCTTCCTATCCAATACTGCTTTGCTGCTATACCTGGGTCCACTATATCCCAAGGTGGGGATTATTCCACCTGAAATTCTCCAAACTAGAGCAGGTCGTTGCTCTAGTATATGTAAGTAGGATCATCCACTTTTTTTTTCACAATATTTTATATTTACGTACTATACCATGTGGTGTATTTTACTCTTGTTTTTCATGTAACGAATATTTACACCTATAAATTCACCAACGGTCTTGAACCTCAAGAAATCCATAGACGGGGATTATTCCGTCCAGGCTCTTAACACCGAGCTGATATAGCTCCTCAAAGTGTGAGTGTGAATATAACACCTTTGTTCTTGTGGAATTATATCGTTCATACATACTGTACCATTATTTGTATTTTTGTTTCTCTTTTTTTTTTTAAGTTACTCTGCTGGCCAGTATTTCTACAAAACGTATGTACATTTTCTGATTTTTAGCGCTGTTCACCTTTCTATTTTATCTGTCTATTTATCACAAGGTAGAGGAACACCTTGTTGGTGAACTGCTGCTCACCCCTGAGAAGAGAGCGCTTATTATTCTTTTGCATTAAAATCACTATCTAGCAAAATCTTACCTTTATTCCAGTCTGCTGCTGTTGGCTCTGCCCCTGATCTGCATCCTTGGCTGACCTCATCAGAAATTATGATCTCAGGCTATCACAATGCTTTTCAATAGGCTCTGTTCTACAGCTATCCCTGCTAGAGAGTATTGAAACCAAAACAATTTGACAAGTGTTTGTATCTCTTTGGAAGTCAGGATCCAGAACAAAATCACTGCAGATTCACACCCAGCTTGCCTTGCAATATATCCCAGCCACACACGAGCCAACATTGCTGCTCTACAAATTATACATGGTTACGGACTAAACACAATTTTCACAAATTAAATCCAAATGGAAAAACCGAGGCAAAAGTAGTTGATCTGGAAAACCTCTCAACAGTCACAATTTAGCTATTTTCGCCTCAGTTTTGCTATTTGGATTTAATTTGTGAACATTCAATGTTAAGTTAATAACCCCGATACAAGGGCTACTGTTATAAGTATCCTTTTGGAAATCAATGGAAGAAAATCTGAAATGCTTAATCTTAACCTTCCCCACCACCAGGTGACTGTCTCGAAATATGAGATTTAATCTCCTGACCGATGTGTCTATGGTTCTCAGCCCAGGTTTTGTAAATATCCCTGGAATTTAATTGGAAAAAGCCTAAATTATGAACTGTTGGTTTGCCTTGGTCATCCTCGGGATATCAACAACTTGCAAAGTAGTATAAAACCAGATCAATGACTTTTACTACAGGTATTGGACAAATGCTGAAGATACCACTGTCAACCTGGAAAATAACCCGCACAGCTGACAAACACTGAGGTACCACGAACATTACAGTAATTAGTGAAGTCAGCATAGGACAAGCTGCATTGACTGCCACACGTTAGGGTAGTTTCATGGAATCTCCTGCATTTAGTTTTGAACACCCACTGGATTAACTTACTCTCATGCTTCTGTAGTGACATCTCTGGTATATCTATTTGCTTATAGTGATAAATGTAAAAGAATATATTTCCCTCACCCGTATGGTATAACATTTACTTGTATCTAACAAATATACTTTGGTTTTGTCAGCAGTTCCTCAAATTGTGTTCATGTAATTTTTCTGAAATGCAGCATTTCACTTAACCACAGTTTAAATAACGTAAATTAAGCAGGTAGAATGATGTAGAACTGCATTAGAATTAATTCTGAAGGAAATCATGAGTAACACAGGAATGAGCTCCACTGTGGAGAAAAGTGATTTTCTGAAAATTAAAATTTACCCCATTAAGAGGCATCTTTGGTGGTCCTCCACTAGATGGGGACTCCAGACTCTTTGCTGCAGCATGAAACAGTAAAATGATTTAATAAACAGGCCCAGCCTAGTGGAAAGCTTTATGACAAAAATGTGATGATAGTATCAATTGGCACAATGTTTCATATTGGTAAGAGTTTCAAGACGTCCAACCACCATGACCACTTCTGCTTTTGGATGTGCAGCGCTTCAGATTATTGGCACTTGAATGCCGGGGGCGAGTAACCCTTCTGACTGTCTAATGTCAATTCTGTGTACAATTTAAGGCAACAAAATCTGCTTCTGCCTGCAAGGGGAAGCTTGTGTCTCTCCTCCTTCCCTTTCCCCCCTCTTGCTAGCTCAGAGCATGTACTCTGAGCTGGTTAAATGGTCGATTTGGACATAAGCGCGACTCCTCTGACATTAGACAGGGTTGTACCAAACAGCACTGGAAGCATCACAATTAAAGAATAATGCCAGTGGGGCTTTATTTAAAGAAAAACAAAAATGGATTTGAGAAACTGTTTAAAGGGATGCATTACATTTTGCTTTTATATAATACAATTCTCTCAAAATCTGATTGTGGTGTTTAATTCAAAATATGTCCCATTTTAAAGTTACTGCTAAAGTAAAAATCTGCCTTGCTTTCTGAGGATGCATTCAGAATATTAATCATCTTCCAGTCTCAATTTTCTCACAATTTAATTTTAAAGTGACACTATCACTCCCCCACACTCTGTCTTTATGAAATACACACACTGACTGTATTGGAATTTCACCGACATTCGGACGGAGTCAGAAGAGATGCTAAAACAAAATAGGTGACTACTTTGTCATATGTATATTCCTTATGCTTGACAAAAGGCAGAGCTACAACTGTCACGTTTTGTAATTTCCACCAGCCATCACAGGGGAAAAAAACAATTGTCTATAAAGTATCTCTCATAGACCGCAGCGCTGAACTCTTGCGCCTGCATGAGTACACAGCATTAATGTGGGCTCCTAGCAGATGAAGCGCAGGGAGCTGAAGAGGACCCAACGGATGAAGATGGCGGCAGCTGTGAGGGACAGCCTCAGGTAAGTAAACCTTTCCCTTCACCCCCGGGTCATTAGACTGCAAGTGGCAAAGTCACCATCGGTGAAGGGGCTTCGCAAAGTATGCAAATACTCCAGACAGTGACAATGCAGCTATAAGGTTAAAGCTATTTATACACTATCACAGCACGGAAGACAATCAACATTCTGGGGTCACAGCTGGAAAACGCTGTCCAAATATTCGACACTTTACTTTAGCAGTCACTTTAAAATGGAGAGAGAAAACAAACATATCGTCAGATTTCGGTAAATGATTTTATTACAGCACAAAATAAAAATAAAAAAAATGATTGTAAACAGAAATTTACTCAATATGAAACGCAAATTCAGAACGTTTGTTCTACAACAGAAAGTAACAAAAATAAAATGTGTGTGTGAAGAATAAAATGTCGGATTTGCGACAACGCTATGTTTTATATTTAACCAATGCCGCACGCTCTGTGACCAACACATTACAAATATTTATTTAACAAAACCTTGCAGAAAAAGGAAAACCGCAAACTAATAAAAGCTGGATTTATTTAAAAATAAACAGAAAATTTACAACTTCTTAGATAAATCCCAATGATATAAATGGAATTATTCACTGCTGCTGTCCGACGTGACTTGTTGTTTCAGTTGCTCACAGTGGTAATACAGGACCAAAAAATGTATTGGTTTTATGCAGCTTTCCAAAAAAATACCCCTTTATTATTTCTGTCTTTTTTTCCCCTTTCCCTTAAACACAGCTGTCTTTATTAAAGTGCACAGCAGCTTAGCCATGATGCAGATGGCAGTAATTTTACCAGATTCGCTTGTGTTACATCCTGGTTTCATGCCAACGTCCGTATTCTCCAGACTAAAGTACGTGGGCTAATGTGGCTGCCAAAACAGGCCACTGAAAGCATCTTGCAGTGCCCTGTGACATGCAAGAGAGGAAGTATAGCCTCCGGCAAGATCCTGTGGAGCGGTGGCTCGTACATGGTTTAGATACCTAAAACAAAGGAGAACATTGTTTCAGAAAAAGAAATATATATAAAATGCAAATTAATTTACTTGAACATCCATATGTACACAATTCGGATTTCTCTGCGAAACATGTTGTGACTTGCGTTGTGTGTAGACTAAAATATCCTAGAACTGATTAAAAGGCTATAACAGTAAAGTTACACTTTGATTTTCACATCTTGCCACTGGGGGACCAGAGGAAAGTTTGAGTCATAAACATTGCTTCATAAAACAGACAGACTATCAATGTGTACGTTTTTTTTTTTCTAGGGTACACCTAGGGAACACCAAGGAACTTAACACAGATGCATTTTTGACAAGTTTTGGTAGATGGAGAGAGGGGTTCTGGCAGGGAGGGATATAAATTCAAGACCTCCAGTAAAACACTTCAGAAGGTTAAAGCTACATTGACGGCATCACTCATGGAAAGGAACATCTGAGATCAGATTTAAATTATTAAGTGTTAAAACTTTGGCCAGTTTAATTGCTTCACCTGTGCCTTTCCTTTTAGGCCACCTCTGAGATTAAATCTTTAATGAAATGTTGTGTTATGTCACAGAGAAGCCAAATATAGTTTTACTACTGGGGATAGTAGACAATTTGTTAAAAAGTAATGAATATAAGAGTTGTGACAAAAACGAACCTCAGAAGGTAAATTCATACTCTTAAATTACCATATTTTTCCAAACCCAATCCAGACTTTTCAACACTTTTGTGTGTTTAATACTTTTGTAGCTAAAAAGAAATGTTAGTTAAACCTGTAAATAAATGTAAGAATCATTTCTATTTTAATTAGGCTGTCAGATATAAGCTAAGACAAGTTTTTAGTGAATACAATACACAAAAGTACCATTTTGCAATGGAAGAAAATAAAATTTTCATGTTGTCACTGTAACTTAATGCTAACATATAATACCCTATTAGTCATATTTCAAATATGTAATAAAATGTAATAAATAGATGAATCAATGAATAGACTAGATCAGG